TTTAATATTGTCAGTAATATTCAATACACCATTTTTTTTGTTACATAATTTTGTACATGTAAAAAAAAATAGCGCAGTTAGGATGTATTTTTTTTGTGCAATTTATCTATGTATATTTTTAATTTTCTTTAAAAATGATTTGTCTAGTATTCTTAAGAAAATAATAAAATAATTTCAAGACCTAACTATTTTCTTTTGAAATTAGAAATGGTAAATTTACATTTTATATTATAGCTACATGTGTACATATGATAATGTTAACATGTTAATAATTTAATTGACATTATTTTAATCATTTTTCATAGATTGTTGAAGAAGATGATACTTATACAAATGATAAAACAAAACCTGAAGTAAATCAAACTAAATATTTACTGTATAGTATTTTTGCTATAAGTTTTGTGGTAATATACTGTAAGTAGAATATAATTCATACAATGTTTTTTTTGTGATTGTCATTTACCATCAGTTAATTCAATTTTAAAAATTACAGCTTATTACACTATATATAAATCAGATTTTGGCGACAAAGTTGTTAAAAAGCAACCATTATCAGAACCTGTATATGCTGTTATTATTGATGCAGGAAGTACTGGTTCAAGAGTATTAGCATTAGCTTTTAAAAAAACACCAAGTAAACGAAACATTTAAAATTTAAATAATATATCAATATTTAATTCTTATTATTTTATAGGTGGTTCTTTAGAGCTAGAAGATGAATTATTTGTACAAGTTAAACCAGGCTTATCTAGTTTTGCTGATGATCCAAAAAAAGTAAATGTTGTTTTTCGGAACTAATGTCTAAAGTTTATTGAATTATGTTTGTATTTTAGGGTGCTGAATCAATTGATCAGTTATTAGCTAAAGCTAAAAATTTTGTGCCCGAACGCTATTGGAAAAGTACACCACTTGCAATGAGAGCAACGGCTGGTTTAAGATTATTACCAACTGAAAAAGCAGACGGACTTCTCAACGAAGTATTTTGTATTTTTTTACAAAAATAACCTCTAAATTGGTTTTAAAAATGATCTTGTTTTTTTTATAGGTAATACAATTATTTGAACACAATCCGTTCTATACAAATGAAAATTCAGTGGCCATAATGGATGGTATCGACGAGGGTCTTTTTTCATGGTTTACAGTTAATTTTCTTCTAGGTAAAAACATTGACATACACACATACATATAATTAATATATTTATTTATAAAGCAATTATAAAAGTTTATTTATTTTTTAGATCGTTTGAATGGTAAATTGACAAACACAGTAGCTGCTCTTGATTTGGGTGGTGGATCTATACAGATCACATTTATCCCAACTAATAGTAAACAAATCATAAAAGAATTACCAGAATTTATTACAGAGTATTCTATAATGAATGAAAAAGTAAACTTGTATAGCCACAGGTATATTAAAATTGAACTTATATATTATTATGTCAACCATTTAAAAAAATATATTTTAGTTATTTAGGGTTGGGATTAATGGCTGCACGAAAGAGTGTGTTTACTGTAGATGGTGATTTGTTGAATGTTACTAGTCCGTGTGTTCAAGAAGCGGCCAAAGGAACGCCTTACAAATTTGCTCAAAATATCTACCACGTAACGTAAGTTTTTAATTTGAATTACAGTATCAATAATATTTTAGAGCAAGCTGTTTATTTTTAGTTCATACATACTACTCCATCTACTTTTGTCTAAATACTTTTATACGTATTAGTTATTACCAGGGCTACGATTTCAATGTTTAACATGATGCTTCCCAAGATAAAAATGTGTTTCAAATACTTACTATTAAACATTGAAATATTTTTGCATTTTTCAAGGTTTTTGATGTCTAAGGGAATTTGTAATGATTTTCAAGGCATTATATTTATAATTTATATATTATTGTAATTTTTTCCTCTTTTACTCAATTATAACAAAAAACAATATAAATATACATATTGTACTAAAATATCATTAGGTAATCTGGTTTTTAAATAAATCGATTCACCAATTTATCTTAAGAGGATGTCACACCCGCATGTGTTGTCTCTGTCTTACAAATGAACAACATAGTAAAAATTGTTTTGCATAGAACAAATTTACCCCCTCTGTATTTATAGTAGAATTACCAAAATTCCACAACACATAGGAAAGATCTTTATCTGTGTCGGATAGCACAAATACAATTTAAGTTATCAGCTTGGGAACATTAGATTTTTTATTTGATTATTTACAATGATTTGTTAGTGCTATTAAAAAATCAAAAATTCTACAACACGGATAAAGTTCTTCCTTATGCGTCATCGAATTTTGGTGTGTTGTATATTTGTAAAACAAAGAAAATACATGTGGTTGTAACGTCCTCTTAATGTCACACATGCCAATAAACTGATGACCGATCATCTATATTTTCTTATTGTACCATAACATGTTTTGGTAATGCACATATTTTTTGAAAGGACAATACATTTAAGTCCCATCCCAAGTTATTACTATATTGGAATGTATTCATTTTAGTGGAGCGCCATCAAAAAAAGGTCCAGCTGTCGATTACTTGCTGTGTAAGAGTATCATTGAAGCTGTGGTTAAAACTGTATACACTGACAAACCCAAAGATTTGCTCAACCAGAAAATAGTAGCATTTTCATACTTTTATGACAGAGCTCAAGATGCTGGTCTCGTCAGTATGTATTAAGAATTTAAACATGATATGCAGTACAATCTCGGTAATCCGGCTATTTTAATCTATACGTATCAATTTATATATATATATAAAATTACTATTATTTATATTCTATAATAATTACAAGAAATAAATAATAAATAATAATATTTATTGTATACATAATTATAATAATAATAATTATTGATAAATAATAATAATACATAACGTAATTAATTTTTTTATATTTATCAGTAAAAATGTAAAATTCAATAGAAAAATGCGTTTTTATATGAACCCCCGTTAATCCGGCAGTAGTGTGGTCTGATATGTGTCGGGTTACTGAGATCGTACTGTAGTTTTGAAAATTACTATTACTATTTGATTTATGGTTATTATTGTCATTTCTAGGCGAAGAAGGAGGAGACGTTACCATAAAATCATTTTATGAAGCAGCAGAGAGGGGTAATCTGTTTTTATTTATAATATTGATTGTTTTTATAATAAATTGAATTTTTCCAGAATGTTCTCAAACTAGTTATAATGAGTTGCGTCCATTTAAATGCCTCGATTTAACCTATATTTCTGTGTTATTGGAACAAGGTTTTGGCTTACCCGTCGAAACTTCAGTCTCTGTAAGTTTACTATTCATCCTCTTTTTATACTCATAGTTATTCAAATAATCTAATCTAATTATAAATTTGATGTTTAGTTATTAAATACTATTGACGGACACGAAATAAGCTGGGCGCTTGGAGCAGCTTACCATATTTTACAAAATGGACTTTAATTCAAACCGCCATTTTTTAAAAACCAACAACCATGGTGATTGATGATCAAAACTTAGTCTATATTCTATTTTCCACTTGGTCGTGTTTATTGTTTACTTACCCGCGATTTAAACATTGTGTTCTAGTTAATACTAACTATTCACATAAATATTTAGTTGCATTTTCGATTTTTATTTTTTATTATTAATATATTTGTTATATTTATACATTATATTCCAACGAATTATTTGATTTTTAATACATGTATTGTTAGATTAAAAATATTTCAAATTAAAAGTCATGATAATGATATGGAACAATTATTATTTGTGATTTGTCCACAAACAAAATAGTTTGCATTTCATTGCCATAATTATCTACTTAATTGTTTGATTCAATAAAATTGTATAGTTGAATAATTTGGTAATTATTTAATAAGAAAAAACTGAACTATACCATCTCATCACTAGATGTTGTTACATTTTTAAAAAACAATTAGGAGTTGTAGTTATTAATTGTTAAGGTCATTACAAGTTTTCAAGTGTTTAACAAATGTATGTATAAAACAACAACAATTATTGCATTTTTATTCATTTTCTACTTGACATTTTTTCAGAAAAAAAAACCTTACATAGGTAATATACATACATAGTAATATAATATATAAATATTCTAAAATCTATTTTAAGATACCGTTTCTTCTAACATAACTAAAACAAAGTTAACACTTGCAATCTTTATTTTTTTAGATGACAGTTGTAGTGATCTGATTGTATCATAATAATAATATATTTTATATAATAGTTTATGATTCTTTTACAGAAAAAATAAAATAGGAAACATATGCAATCAATATGTAGTAAATAACTAACTCATAATATTTTAACTGAAATTTCTTTGTTCTTAGCATTTAGGGAACATTTCATTTTATACATTTTATTTCAAAAATATACAGGCGGAAACTAAGAAAATGAACATGACTGATTCCAAAAATAAGAAGTATTTAAGTACATAATTTTAAACTTTACCATATACCTTATTTTACCAGTCGTAAATGCAACCCTACAATAATTAAGCTAATGTATTGTGTTAATTATATATTAAGCTGTTTTGAAAAATTTGTCTTCTAAACTTATGAACAGATATTAGAAAATTTGGGAGACTTTCCATAAACTTAAATTTCTACAGTTGCATAAAAGTTAATGAAAAATCTATTTTATAAAAATATTAATCTATTAAATAACAGTTTTAATTTGTATTCAGTAATATAATAAATTACACATTAAAATACTTTTATGCCTGATAGAATCCTAATCTTATGGTAAGTCTACATTATGGTCCATTTCTGGTAGTAAATAAATTATTTTAAACTGATTAAAAATATGATAAAATAGTTTAGGATTCAAAATTGAAGCCTTCTAAAGAGCAAAAAAAAAAACTGAAGAAAACTCATGATCCACCCTGTATGTAATTATTAGAATCTAAACAGCTATATGAAAATTATAATTTTAAACCTAATTAGAATAATGTTCAAACATAAATGTATGTAAACTTGTATCAAATACATTTGCCATTCTTGATAAAATACTGACAATTATAGAGAAAAAAAAAATAGCAAATTTATCAACAAAAGATTAATGGTTAAAAGACAAATTAAATGTTTAATGTAAATTATACAAGGTTGAATGAATAAATAAAAAAATAAATGACAAATTAACTAAACATCTAATTATTTTTTTACATTACACATTTGGCTCAAATCTTTATGGAATAAGTCAACAATATAGTCTATACTTTAAACAATATACCATTGGCATCAATTTTTCAAATAACATAATGGTAACATACATTTTTTCAAGATCTTTTATTGTACCAAAAATGAATTTGGAAAAAATGAAACACATAAAAGAAAAAAGTTGGTTTCTTTGTTGTTGCATAGAATATAAAAATTTCCATATTTTATTATTAGGTAAATTAATAAAAGACACTAACAAATTTTTACTCTTACTATTTAAATAAAAAATATAATTGTAAATATTTTGACAGCCTTTAGTTACTAATTTGTTAGAATTCAAAGTTAAAATAATTAACAAATCTACAAAATTGGAAAACATTAAAGTATCACTATTTGTTGATTGTTTACTTTTGCAAATTTATCATGTTAATCAAAGAAAGTCATCTTGAACTAGGTCAGGAGGAAATCGCATACCTCTTCTTTTCAAAGAACGTTCAATAGATTTAGCTTTTTCAATCTTGGCATCTTGCTCTTGTTTTTGTAATGCTAAAATGTCTCCTATTGACACTCTTTCAAACATCTGATCGGCCTCCTTAAGGGCGTCCTAAAAACAAATATTAATTATTAATATCGTTAAAAATGAATTCAAAATTTTAAATACAATCTTACTATTTCTCCGAGTAAAACGACATTTTCTCCTCTCACCAAAAACACACCTCTGGGTATATCACCAAATTTCTTACCCACATGTATGCGTTCAACTGTTTGCTGAAGCAACAAATTGGCATATTGATCAACGCTTCGTAAGTAACCAATAAGCGTTCTGCCGTCACGTAAAAGAACCATAAGCTTTTCTGCATTATTAAAAAAAATAAAAACAGTAAATATTATTGAAAATGACTGTTTAGATTTTTAGAACACAATCATATAATATTAGACATTTACACTGACAAACCAATCGATTTATCATTTTATACTTACTGTCCAGTTCGTACAAAAGTGTAGCAGTTCTGGGCGGAAAAGAATTCATCGCTGTTGCACGAGAGTTATTATAAAATCGTAAATTTGAAAAAATAGCAGTTCGGAACCATGTTAAGAAATACTTCTATACCTACCCATTACTTACCTAAAAATCACATTGTTACGCACTGAAAATAATAATAATAATAATAATAACAACAAAAAACAGTAATGAGTTATCAGCGATCAGTCGTAGATAACATAAATGATAACGCACTACCTTACGGTATAGTCAATTTGCCTTTACTAAAAATCGTTTTATATAGTAGTGAACGTACAGACACAAAATAAAACAAGACAGAAAATCGTTGGAAACAATTGAACTAAATATAATCTGTTACATGTATATTTAATTTAATTGTACGGTATACATTAAAAATCAAAATGAACGACGATTGTCTAAATTTAAAAACTGTTAATATGAATCGTTCGTTGACTTGGGTGAACGTTTGATATGTAGGTACCGGTATACATTATAATATGAGCTCGTACTTATCGTTCAGTATAAATTAGACACCAATTTTTACTTACAATTCGTTACAACTATTGATTTGATCATAATTAACAATACAAGACATAAATATTAAATACTATTTCAATCAATACTCAAACGTACATAATATTTTGTATCGTGTGAGATAGATCACACTTTGATCTTGTATTACATATGGGTACATATGGGTAAATCGCACGTTATGTTGCAGATTTGTAGCATTAAACAATACTAATACTAAAATAAAATAAATAAAAACTCAAAATAGGTAGTGTCACTAATGGGTGGCTTCTTCCCTCAAAAATTCAAATGTAAATACTGTCACATTTGCTTATTATTTTGTGTAAGAATAGATCGTAAATTTCTTATAAAAATAAAACCATTATTTAGTTAAGAAAATTGAGTAATCAAAATTGAAATAAAAATGCATCTACCAACTATTTTTAAGTTGGTTTTCATAAAGTCAATTTTTTTATTAGTATGACATTATTCACATTACAATATTTAGTTTACATACCACTGAAGAGAATGTGGCTTCTATTTTCAGTTTTACATGCATAACGTGGCAAATGTACGGTCAACTATTCACATTTGGTTTTATTAATTTAAACATTAATGAATAGATTTATTATTTCATGTAAAGTTTACAAAACATATTTGTGAATTTTTTTGTTTTGATATTTGAAATTGAAGCGTTAGTAGTTATAAGTAGGATTTGGATTTATATGCAATAAAAAATTTAAAATAATCATTTTTATTTACCAGAATATGCAAAATATGATTTTTATACTTCTAATTAAATAAATATTTTTTATATAGAAATCAGAAACTAATCGAAGCAAAACCCACTTTCTAATCAATAATTATTTATTATTATATTGAATATTGTTGTAAATTGTAATTATTTGGTCTTTCAAATTTTGAAACACGAATGCCTGACGATTGGATCAATGAATGGATTTATATCATCTAAAACTTGTACAAATGAAAAACAAAAATAATGTATAGGTCGTCTGACAAAAATAAGGTTCTACATTTACGACCATTCAACGAATATTCTAATTATTATAGATGTTCAAAATATACAAAAAAATAGTTGTCCTATCTTATCGGGAATAATTCAAATTGCGGACTTATCTGACATCCAATCAATTTGGACTCAAGAAAAAAACGTGCAAATGCATAGAAATCCTAGCTCTAGTTACAACTTATAAGTATGTAAAAAACTAAAAATATAGGGATTTAAAAATGTTCTTACATCACTTTGAAAAATTTTAGATAGGAATACATTGCATGTTAATAAAAAAAAGTCTTTCCATTTACAGTTTAAAATATCTATAATAACAGTTTAAAAGTAAAATGTGATAACTTCTAGAAAAAATTGCAGACATAGTTTAAAAACAAAGAACATAATACAATTCTACAAGCTATATTCTTCTAAGCAAAAACTATATAGTTTTAACTAATATAACCAAAAAAACAGTATTGAAGTATTTAATCAATTATTATGTTGATGTTTCTTTATTTTCATTCACAAAATTTTTTAATCTATGTTCAAGATACCTTTTTCTGTAGGTAATGGGTAATTCAGATAATTCTGAAATAAATTCGATTTGATCTCCTTGTTTAGTATACATGTTTTCACCATCAGGTAAAATGTTTCTTAAAGCTAGATTTCTTTGAATTAATGTTTCATAATACTCTATTCCTCCTTTAATATATTCTTCACTGATATCACATAATTTTTCATCAGCTTTTTTTTGATAAAAATTCTCAGTAGCAGTGCGTGCTAAGAACCATACTAATACTCCTATATTACTTAATAATACAAGTACTAAAGTCCTAACTCTAGCTGGGTTTGGAGGCAATATATTATATATGTAACTTCCCAAAGCATACATTGGCATTAATACTATAGAAGATAAACTAGATTTAATAAATATTCGATGATTGTCTGTAAGCATCAATTCCCGAGCAATACTATATTTTTTGGCCGGTTCACTCAGGATTAACGACTTGACAAACTGTTGACCAAACTCAGACTTGTCGTTTAAAAGTTCAGCATATGGTTTCTGAAAAAAAAATTAATAACATACAAATTCTTGGTATATATTATACAAATATTTGATTATACTTGTAGATTTAAATCTGCAGCATTTTTAATTGAAATATCATCTACTGAGTTAAGATCATAAATGCTTGGAATTCCTATATAGCTACCCATACGAGTATTCAAACAACCGACATTTATTGGATGAATACTTTTAGCTGTAAATGGTATTACAAAAGCTTTTTTAAAATCTGTTAATTTTAAGTCATGAATCACATCATCATGTCGTTTTCGAAGAGATTCACTTAATGCAACTGGTTGATTATTTCTGAAAAATAATTAAAATAAATTTAGTTTTTAAATAAAAAAAACAACCACCAAGCAACTTTTTTAAGTATTTATGGAAATGAAAAAGTTAAGAATAAACTGATACACAATTGGGAGTAAGCTTGTCGATGTCGAGATTTCCTGAATCCCGACCTGCACTAATTAAAAAAAAAAAAACTCCAAGTTAGAGGGTATCCACACTGGTGGGCTTCTTTTCTCACGCCATTTCACATTATGTTTTGATTTTCAAATTGAGACTACAACAAATATTGTATTGGTTACAAAATCGTTATATTTTTACAAACCCATTTCATCTAGGTGATCTAGTCACAGACTAGAAACTCGCTAAACTAAACCAGTTTCAAATTATCTCACATTATCCAGCACCTCTATAATGAACCGTGTAAATGTTATCGTCCACGCATCTCAGTGCGTTATTTTTTCACACAGGTTTAGGAATACTCAATTATTAACAAACAAAAATAACTGTATTTTGTAGTAACGTACTTGTTTGCTTCTTTAAAGTATTTGACAAATAAATCATTAAAGATTATGTTGGTAGAATATTCGATAGCACCAGAACCAATAGTAACAGCGCACAATGCGTTAACTACGAAATCCGACGTTACTTTAAACTTGCTCATAATAATTGTCAATTATTATCAATAAAGTTCAGAGTTACAATATGAGCTATGGGCAGATTAATTTATTCGCCAACAGTATCCCAATCCTAGTGTCCTACAATATTTTAATGGCTTTGATTTAGATTACTAAACAGACATTAGCTTACGAAACACGAGTTGCAAAAAAATTTAAGGTAGCCACTGCATTACTGAAGTCTGGAATCACCAAATCGGAATATCCGGTTTCCACTATCCGGCCATGATTATGATATCAGAAAATAAGACAAGATGATATCACTGTTATTCTCTGATATGAGCAATCATATTTTACATATAATCTATTTTGTGGTGATATCATTGTTATTCATTCCCCGGCCAACGGGTGAATACTGATTGCTGAATATTTTTATGCGGTTAAATCGCGTTTATGAATCATGGATCAACGTCAGTTTCGGTTTTCAAAAAATGTCGTTAATCGTTATGTTTTATGATCACGGACGTGTAGACGTCCGTGTTTATGATTTTCACATTTTTTTAACATATCATTGATAAAATTATATTGTACTATAAATTGTGAGGCAACTTTTATGAAAATAAATTCGTTTATCTCAAAAAGCACTTGTAATGTCTCACAACACACGTCATTCAATATTTTACCACAGAAATAAATACTAAAAACAGAATAGGTGAATTGCATCCGTTAAATTATACCGTTAATTATCAATATTCAATATCATTAAAATTTTTTATTGCTGGCATTGCTTATCGGTGAGATCATCCACCCCGGCCGGTCAACCGCCGGCAAAGCCTGAAAGCCAACCAACTGCAGGCCTGCCGGTTCCCCACACCCCCGCCGCATATCATCCTCTTTTTCGTCACCACCCGTTCCCGCACCGTTCGCCAATGGCAGTAATTCGTTTATCATTTCATCTTTTTACGTTTTAATTTTTTTTTACGCACACGGCAGAAACCTCGCGCACACGCGACCCACGTCCTACACGGCTACACGCACACGCACACGTACTACGTACACGCACACGCGCACGCCGCAGCCACCGAACCACCACCACCCACCCACACGTTATATAACATTATCGCCGTAAACCGTAGTGCACACGAGTCGCGCCCCGCGCCCCTTCGCGGTCCACGGGTTCGTTGCACCGCACCGCACCGCATCGCATCGCATCGCATCGGTCGTCGAGCTGTAGCGGCGATTTAACCGCCCATACTCGACAACGTCCGTCGGCCACCCCGGCATCGATCGTCGATTGATTCGATACTGGCGCGATTTCGATCCGTTCCATGACGGATAACAGCGACGACGACACCAACAACGGCAACGACAATCGCGTGCGCCGCCGCCGCTGTCCTCGTGCGTTGTTGTATAAATAGGCCCGAACGTCCGGCGTCGCGCGCAGTTGGTTCGCGCGTAGCGTCTGCGGCGGTTAGTGCAATATTATTGACTATATTACGATGACCGTCGTGGTCGTCCCCAGTTAGTTGTATATCCACTATCCTACAACTTGTAGGGCTGTGGACAGTCGACCCACACACCGGCCGCCGGTACTCATTACCCATCAGTCGCGCGATGTCCATATTCCGGCCACTGATCGATGCATTCTGGTCCCCGGACATCTGGCTGCCGCCGAACACCCAATGGTCCGACCTGGAACCCAATGAACGGGTCCAGTACACCGACCACCGGCACCTGATCTACCCGTTGCCCATGGCCGTCGTCGTGTTGCTCATAAGATATCTGCTCGAAAAGTGAGTTGAACTTTTGGGTGGGCGGGGAGGGTGTGTGTGTGTGTTCCTTTTGGACTAAGGTTGGCGGTTTTCGTTTTTTTCCCCACCTAAAGCGGTTCTCTCTTTCAGATATTGTTTTTCACCGTTTGGCCAATCGCTGGGTATCAAGAGCACTAAACCAAAAAAGGTCCCAAACAATGACATGCTAGAGGAAAGGTATGCGCGGAACAGCAAGTGGAATCACAAGGAAGTGGTGGGTCTGGCCAAGAGGCTCGATTGGACCGAGCGACAAGTAGAGAGATGGTTGAGGTTGAGGCGAGCTCAGGACAAGCCTTCGACCCTAGTCAAGTTCTGTGAGAGCAGGTAACATTTTTCATCAATTTATACAAACTAACAAAACAACCTAACTTCTTGCTACCTGATTGATGTTTGTATTCATTTACAAGTCTCTATCTTGGTTATCTGTAATAAAATAACTGTGTGGCTCTGTAACAATGGTACGATAAAGTGTATTGAGCTGTGAGCCACCAATTATTATTGGGTAATGACTTATAGTGTTCTTGTTATCACCTGGTACATTAATTATATTAAAATATAGATTTAATAGGCACCTGTACATTTTCAAAATTGTAGGTTTAAAGAAATTTGTTAACTTTATTACATATCTAATTCAAATGTTTATCATATTTTCTATTGTATACTTTAGTAGGTCGATTGTTTGTTTTATTTGTTGAAACTAAGACTAAAGACCAACCTATGGATTATTAAATATTAAACCAGGTTATAAATTCAAAACATAATAATAGTAATATATTATATTAAAAAGCAGTGCTTAATATAGAGAAATATACTAAAATAATGATGACATTTATCAACAACAACAATACAATTAGCACTTTAAAAAAAAAATATTTAAAAATTATTTTGATTATATTTTCTATATTGATGATGTATACTTTTCATTAAAGTTTTGGTTCAAATTGACTATTCGACATTGATACATTTGAGATAAAGAATATACCTATTATTCCTTAATTTTAAATTTATAAAATTTTTTAGAAGTTAAATAATAATCCATCATTTGTCTATCACAAATTAAGAAAAATACTACTATCCACTGTAATATACAGAATGATTGCTTTAAGACACGAACCCAATGCTATTTAAAAAATAAAAAACCATACCTATTGGAAAAAAATATCCAACTAGTATTAAAATTCAAAGCTGATATTATTAAAATACGCAAGAAAAGACATTGGACTCTTACAAAATAATATAAAATAGGTATTTACTGATTCATGCTAAAATAACAACGCTGTATATGTTATTTATTACTATATTAGTTATTTTTTGTCATCTAATTGTATTTTAACTTGTATTATAGGTACCTTTTATCTGTTTGGTTTATTTTTTAGTTTTATTATTTACTCATAAAAATTAGACCATAAAATTTTAAGATAAGTTCATAAACATTGTTATTTTTTATTTGATTATAACTGTTTTCAATTATAATTATTTGTTAATGATGATGGTTATGACGTTCAGTTCATTATTTTACAACAATTATCACGTGCCTTATTATTATTTAGAATTTTATATTTATTTTTCATAAAATACTTCTAGTTTAAATTCAATAAAACTTTTTTCAATGGTGAACACTAAAATATTTTTATTTATGAACTATTTTTTTTTTTAAGAGGTTAGAGGATGTCGCCTCACAGTTTGTTTTCTCATGCGCATCATACATTTTTCTTTCAGTACAACCGACCTTGTGTTAGCTTTAATTTTGGAGTAGTTGGACTTATTATCAAACCTAAAGTTTGAAATATTATTTTTGTTGTACGTTTGGATTTTTTACAATATTTCAATTAGTATGCTAATTTTGAGTACCTATATTTAATAATGTTATTATTTAAAAACTTATATCTCACTTTAAAATTGAAAAACCATAAAAAAAAAGCCAACACAGGAACACTGATAAAGTTCTTAGCTTTAAATTTAGTAATATGACCAATATATAATCTGGTCAATTTCTTTAAATACTTAAGTTAACAGCCCCAGCAGTTGTTCTGCTGAGTGCAAATTTGGTATGTTGCTCATCGGTCAAAAAGAGAAAACAAATTTTGCGCTGACATCCTCTTAATGCTTAGGTACTATTCAAATAAAATGTAGCTAAATCTTAACATATATTGATTAAAAAATATTAATTTACTATGTACAGATTTTATGTTGTTTGGTCAGTTAAAAAAAAACCTTTAAAACATGTTAATGAATAAGTGAAGCCATTTAAATATATTCTATTCAAATATTTAACAGTATAGCATGACAGACAAACAAAAATTAAGTATGAAAATAGGTTATGTAACATATTGTATTGCCAATGTACTGAATAGTTTACTATATGATTCAACAAAATAAATTTTAACATTATAGTATGTGAAGCAAGAAAGGCTACAACTTTAAAGGCTAATCAGTGATTCTAATTAACTCTTTTGTCGTTTGGCCCACCTTAGCACATTACAACAATGTATTTTCATGTATAAAAATAGAATTTTTAATGAGTAGTTATTTAATTATAGTCACTTATAGGTATTTAAATTAAAAATGAGCAGAGCATAGTTTTTGGGGAATTCCAGCGTGATTACTCCATTTATCTAAATTATAATAATACTTATAACCAGGGTTTAGAAGTTCATGCATTTTCATATCAATCTTGTTAAGTCATATTTAATGCTATGTGACATAGAAATCCATTTCATACACATTGAAATTTAATAATTTATTTTCCTTTTTTTTGCATTTTTCTATTTTATTGATAATATTTAATATATTTTTGACAACAATTTGATGAAAAATGCAATAATTTATATTTTTGCATCATATAAAATATATGGGAATTGTCGCAACATATAATTATAAAAATAAAACGTTAGTTGTCAGTGTTTCATACCTGCATTAAGCAATTAGTAAAAACATGTTATATGAAATAGTCTTATCTTCTTAAATATCTTTTACAGATTTTTAATCTGCTTATTCTTAGTGCATATAAATCCATATTTCTGAACTTTTTAAAGCATATTTTGCCAGTTTTTAGTATATAAGTGCATGCTTATTTAGGAATTTTTTAGGGCATGACTTATGAGCACTGCTTATAACTAAATAACTACTCGTTTATAGTTTGATTATTATGTGTCAAAATGATTTGACAAATATTCTGTAACTAAATGAAATTAAAAGTTTATATTCTCTTAAAAAAATCCGTGTAGAGTGTAAACATTTAAATGAGCCACCCTGTGTTATTATTATGTATTTAATTTGAATTAAATCATGACATTAATAATTTTCAAAATAAATCCTGAGGTCTTTTAATCCTTAAATATTTGATTTTACATCTCTATAGTTTTTTATTAAAACAAATTAACCATATTAAAATGTATGTTAATTTTCTACCCAATAAAAGTAAGTTAAAGGTATGTTGTTTTTAAACATTATTTTGAACTTTTTTTTTTATTAAATTAAATATTGGTATATGATATTCTTTATATGCGTAACACAAACAAAATATTAACTAAAATTATATTAGGTACCTAGTTTTTTAATATTAATATAAATGTTTTACTCACATTTTGTTTACAGTAGTTGGTATTAATGAAAAATGATTAAACATTATCAACATACCTACCCATAATTGTTAATATTTAATTTAGAATAAATACTTTTGATTGATTAAATTTAAATTCTAAACGCCTAATTAGTTATTAGTGTAACTACAAAACAATTAATACCAATGTATTTATTTTCAGATTATAGAAGTTAAATTGTCTACAGCGTTATTTTAAAAATGTCTGACATACCTATTATTAATAGGCTATTAATTGGCATTGAGTTAAATAAATCTGCAAAATATTATTTTATTAAAAATAATAATGTTTTAATCTTAATAAATTTAAGAATAAAAATTTATTTTTGAATTGGCTGTATCAAACTCCTTAAATAACGAATGTATGGCATCTTCAAAAAAAAAAAATTGTTCTCTCAAAAACTAACACTATAAAAATTGTAGCACTTTTTTTGTATATTAAAAAATTATTATAAATCAAAAGAAAATAATGATCCAGTATTTGTAATTTATATTCTAGGTGGAACACTGTGTACCAAGTGTATAAATTGTATAATGTTTTTAAAAATGTATTTTAAACTCACATTTACACTTTATTATGTAGTTATTGGTATTTACTTAAACAAATACTTCTATGATATTACTATTTTCCATACTAGACATATTAATGTTTTTATTTTTAACCAACTTACATACAATAATCATTTGAGATTAGATTTATATTGAATAATTTTCATTATTTTATGCTTTAAAATATACTTTGATTATATGTATTATTCTTTTCAGTTGGCGATATGTCTATTACACATTTTCATTCCACTATGGTCTTGCGTTCTTATGGAATAAACCATGGTTATTGAATATAGATTATTGTTGGATTGGATATCCACACCAGGTAAACATTACCAATAAAAAATTGTTTTCTTTATAAAGTCAGAAACAATTAGTATCATATTTATTAACACCTTTTTTACTTTTTTTAGGGTGTCACAAGAGACACTTGGTGGTACTATATGATGTCATTATCATTTTATTGGGCATTAGCTGTTTCTCAATTTTTTGATGTCAAACGGAAAGATTTTTGGCAGATGTTTGTCCATCATATATGTACTATATGCTTATTATCTTTTTCATGGATATGCAATTTCCACAGAATTGGGACTCTTGTGCTTTTAACACATGATTGTGGCGATATTTTCCTTGAGGTAATGAATAATATACATTTTTTATTTCATATAAGCATTGTGTTTTATCATATAAAATAAAAGTTAAAAAATAATAATAATAACAAAAATATAGAAATAGAGTTAAAAAATCAATTTTAAAACTCTCAGAATCATAGGTCAAACAATAAAGATAAACCTTTTCCACACGTTTTAAATTAAAAGTATGAATTATTATTTGTTTAATTAAATTATGTTAGAGGTCACATTATAATGTTAAAATATGATTGGGATTTGTCTGATCTAAAAATATTAGTACTTCTATTATACTATAAATTTAATTTGTTGTATATTAACAAATGTCAATTTTTGAAGGTTATAGTTTCATATCAATTTAATAGACTAAAACAATGATTATAGATTATATTCATTGTTGTAATATAAAAATAATGACAGAAAAAATCATTTTTAACCTTGAAAATATAATATTGTGATTTTTAGGTTATTTAAAAAATATAAAACATCTTTATAATTGGACCGATAAAATTTACTACTAAAAATCAAATATTATTTAGGAAAAAATAGTTTCAAATTATTTTACAAATAATTTTTGTAAGCGATACTGGATCGCGATTGAGACAATGAAAAAATATATATTTAATTTTTAATTTTTAATCTTTAGAGGTGCTATTTAAACATTTTTGAAGAATTTAATTATATATAAAAGTTCAGCTAGTTCATAGACAAAAATATCAGCTGTTTTCTATAACAGGGGTGAGCAACTTGTGGCCCGCGAGCCATTTTTATCTGGCCAGTGCTACATTTTAAATTTACATTATAAACAAAATAAATACTGATTAAAATGTATATTTTGAATTCCCCCCTTGTTTCTTTGCTTTCTATGCTCTAGATTTTAATTTTCTAAAAATTGGCTCTCTAATAACTTTAAGTCGCCCATCCCTGTTCTATAAAATGGAGACAAAGATTATGAGCCAAAATAATAATGTTAGTATTTATGTATTTATGCTACATTCAAAAATACAAATCGTTTAATATTTATAAAACTTTCACCACTTATAATTTTTTGTATGATTCAATGTATATTCTGTCAATTGTATTTATTTTCATTTGATTTAATAATTTTTCTGGGGATAACAAACTCGTAGTTTTAAATATTTCTATGGAAGGAGATCTTGAGTTTCAGTTGAAGTATATTTAAATACACAACAAATATTGATAAGAACCTGTAGCAATAATGGTCAAGGATCCTAGCCTATGGATTACCAATGTTCAATGTAAAGCAGTAGTCTAACTAAACTTTAAGGAGGTATAAAATAAAAATAATAACTTAATATACCAAAAAATATATAGTCATATTAACAATATTTAGCTTTATAAAAAAATAGAAATGCAATGAATATAATAAACGAGTGCAAGCTATTTAACAGGTCGTAACTTGTAACGGCACATTGTTTTTTAGAAAAGTGGAAAGAGTCATTTAAATTTAGTTCACTTAAAAAAAATTTGTTTTCAGTTTAGTTTTACAATAAATTTAGAACTATATGTATACTTGATTATACTTTTTGACAAATATTTATCAAGATAATATGAATAGTTAGTTTTAAAATTATTTAATGCAATAGGTAGGCCAGTCAAAAATTGTTAGTAAGACACACTTGAGGCCATAGTTTGGAGACTATTATATAGTTATACTTATTGAACTTGTCATCAAAAAAATTATTACTGTTCCCTGAGAAATGTGTGATCCATAAAATATAATTTTTGCATATTTTACAATACATTAATTATCATTGTATAGGTTATATGCATTTTCAGTCATATAATTGTTGAAAATATGAATACTTCTATGATAACAATTGAAGATATTTATGATTATAAAAGAGTTTCACAATTAGATTGTTTATTATTGTACTTTAACTTGTGTATTATAGTAAATGCAAGTTTACACAGACTAGCTTTTGTGATTATTGAAATTTTTATTAAAAACAAAATTAATAATTTTAGATTCGAATTTGAACAATGTATCAACAGTAATATGGTGGTTTTTATGTGTGTGTGTCATCGTCTTTTGAAGTAGTCAAATTGCTTCAATCTTTAACATTTTTTTCTTATAGGAATGTTAATATAGCTTTACTTGAGGGGGTCAAAAGTAAAATGTCTGTATTGTCCTTAATAATTTGGAAAATACAAATTTTTACTCATAACCAGTTTTAAACAAAATTGATATTGTTATTTTCGTGTCAATCATAAACTAATAACTGTAGATACTTGACATTTTCATCAAACTGAAATACAAACAAATATCCATAAATTAACAATAATTTTTATGAGCATTTAGACTTCAATACTTTCAATTCCTTGTAAATTAATGATTCACAAAAACTTTTGTTCCTTTTATACACGTGTTAAAAACAAATATAAAAATAAACTTGGAAAAAGGTTTCATAAGAAAAGGAAAGTTCTTAAAGTTTGTTTTTATAAATAATAATATTTGATTCATGAGATTGTAGATAAGAAATGTATGATAAAATTATGGTCATGATGAAATTTAAAAATGTTTATATAATATTTAATTGGTAGCTATAAAATATTTTGTATTAAAATTTGTTTTAATTAATATTTATTTCATTAGTAAATGTTAATAGTTTGATTACTTGATTAGCTAAAGCAGTAATGATATTTTTTCTTACAAACGGAAATACTCATTTTGAATATTATATACCCAAAGATAAAGCTTAACTCCTATATATTAATAAGGAGCATATCAATTAACAATAAAAGTAACTATCTTACACTGCTACCACAATGAGTTATATATTATGTGCCTGTAATTGTTATTAGTAAAAACACATTATTAAGAGATGTTCAAACATGACCTGTTATCTTTGTTTCGGCTCCTTGTAACATAATGTAGATCTGGCTCATTTACATTGAAAGTAAATTACAGCTTTATCACCTATTAAACAAATAAAATAACATTTTGGAGGGCATCACTTACATAACCTTTTTTTTCTGAGTATTACCTCATAAAAAATTGCTAATTAATATTATTTACTATGATAATATGCTGTTAAAAATTGAATGTTTAAGATTTCTTTTTAATAGATTAGTAAGTAAATACATTCCCTACAAACATTCTATTCTCTTGGTTTCCGTTAAATACTCTCAGCTGTCCTTATCTACCTTATGAATATGGCATTGTATATGTGTGAGAAAAAAAAGATAACCAACTAGTGTTTCGTTTAGTAAAGTAATGCTGAACAAGTCAATGGTTTAAATAACTATTATCAAATAATGGCTATTATTAAGTACGTCATACAAACCAATAATTTGATATTATATAGTATCTACATAATTAATTTAAACATAATTTTGTAATAAGTATACAACACAAATATATTATTTTATATATTGAATATGTTATAGTTAAAATAGAGCATCATAGAGATATTGTTCAGTCAAGTTATTGCTATAACGGCAATTTTCTTTAAAGACTCAATTATATGAATAATAGTGGTATAGGGGATGTGGTGTGGTTCCAAACTACTTTATCTAGCTGTAAAATAAACATATTATTATATAGATAGAATATATCTGTAAAGATCTGGTGAAGATAATAATTAGTAGTAGTATACAAGACAAAAATAATATAGTTTAGACCAGTGGTTCTCAACGGGGGCAATATCGCCCCCCAGTGGGCGGTAAAATGTCACCAAGGGGCAATGAACTAGTTTTGGGTGGTAGGGGGGCGGTGAAATAATTTTGGGTGGTAGATTACCATAATACTAGAACTATAAATAAAAAATATATCAAATATAAAAAATAAATAAAAACATGAGTTATTAGATAATTTCAATTTTTTCTTTTAAATTTTCCAAATACCCTTAACCTAACCCTTATTATAGAATTCTCACATTGTAGGGGCCGTTAAAAAATTTTTTGACACTCAAGGGGGCGGTAACTTAAAAAAGGTTGAGAAACACTGGTTTAGACTAAGCACATGGTATGATTGACCTCTGATTTAATTACATCAAACTTTTGGAATATCTCTACTCGAACATATTTATACTTATAAAACAATTATTAAAACAATTTGTTCCCTGCTTAGCTTGGAATTTACATTTTAATTTGTACTTTTTGTTATAGTTGGCAAAAATGGCCAAATATGCCAAATATCAAAAATTATGCGACTTCATTTCAGTAGTATTCATTGTTGTCTGGTTGGTAACTAGAATTGGATTGTTCCCTTTTTGGATTTTGTACAGGTTAGTTTTGTATTAGTTGTTCATAATAAATTTGGGTAATTTTCATTTATTATAATTTTTTTTTATATTTTGAAAACAGTACGTCAGTCAATGCGCCACAAGTGGTAAACCAAATGTTCCCAGCTTATTACATATTCAATGGATTACTGTTTCTTTTACTTGGTCTCCATCTTTATTGGACACACTTAATTTTGAGAATTGCATATCTATCGTGGAATTCTGGATCAGTATGTATTTATTTAGTATTAATCGCAATCTCTCTTTTCTTAAATTTGTAATTATATTCTTGTATAAATTTATTTAAATACTTGTTTAAATCTTTAAAAAAATTGTATTTAATTAAAATATTGAATAATTTCAGATGGATGGAGACATTCGAAGTTCTTCTAGTGACGAAATTACACTAGATGATGATTCAAGTACCAAAATAGATGACATCAATGGAGCGTTACCAAATGGCACAATTTAAATTATACTACTTTTATTGTATCTTTGTTTTATTGAGTTTTGTTTGAAATAATTTCAAAAGCACTTTAGGTATTCGTGTAAATATTTATGTGTTCCAGAATACTAATCATTTTATTCCCTATCTTTTAAGACAAAAAAGTGGTAACTTTATCATGAACATAGCTACTTAAATGAAAAGTTTCTATAAATATTATGATCACTTAAATGTTTCAGATTCAGCTCTAGTCATCCATAAACAAAAACATTTCCTACGAGAAATATACCATAAATATAACATTTTATATGCAATTATTATAGTTTTTTTTTTAGATTTTAGTTTGTTATTTTATTTTATTTCATTTTAACTTCATTAATATACTTAAATAATGCTTATTCGTCCCCTTCATCCTCCAGTCCCCCCCCCAAAAAAAAACTTAAAAAACAAAAAAATAAGTGTAATTTAAAACTTTTAAGTATGATAATTTGTATTTATTATATTATTTATAAAATAAAATAGTTTTTTATATGTTTTAAGAATATTTAAATGTAATGTTTCTTGTTTAGATACAGCCCTTTTAAGTGTTGCTTTAGTAACTTTTCTTAACCTCAAAGTTATTGATTCAACAATACCTGGTACTAACAGGCACCAACATTCTTACAGATATTGTTGTACTAACACTATTTAATTGTATAAGAATAAAATTCAAACTGTTTTAACAATGGGTAGTAGTGTTACGGAATCAATGTCTTCAGATGTGTTGGATTTGACAAATTTTGATACTTGTGGACATTTGAGTCCTTTTGTATTGACTAGTCCGCGTTCACTATTAGCGTGTCGCAAGGCTAAAATAAAGGCAAGTGGTATAGTTTGTATTGGTATCTTTATTTAATTTTCATAATTTTCATAGCCTAATGAGTTATTATACAAGAGTGCTGCGGATATATCTAAAGACCTTGATGTGTCAATCAAGTTAGCTTATCCAGTTTATCAACAGCATGAAAAAATTAGACAAGGTAAGTGTTACTAAAAATTGAAATAAAAATAATGGGCGCTTGAAAAATGTGTAATTAGTTCATTGATGAATAAATGGACAGTTATTATTAACTATTTTTAAACAGACAAAATAAATGTTTTATTGATAAACTATTGAATATTGATAGGTAGGTAGGTACATAATTTATTACTATATGCCTGTATCAAATTGACGAAACTAAAGGATATTTTGTTTAAAGAATTAGAATAAAATAAAATACTCAACAATACAACTTAATTACAACCAACTAATAATAGTTACTTAAATGTTGAAGAAGGGGGGGGGGAGTCAAAAGTAATAAAAAATCAGTACTTTTCAGAATAATTGGGAAAAACAAAATACTATTAAGGAAAACGAGAATTTGACAGACAGAATTTAATCTTCTCTTAGAATCGTTTTTCGTATACAATAATTTATATTTGATTATTGAATTCAAATTTTACCATACATTACCTACACTATTTATTATTATTGTGACTTAGGTTTAGGTATCTACTCAATTATGATGTACACCCAATACCTAATGTCTTCTTTTTTATATTTTATATTAATTATAATTCAGTGTTTGATTTGGAAAAAAATGAGATGTATGTAAGTGTAAAAGTGTAAAAAAAAATGCACATGCCTGAATATTTAAATGTATTAATTAAGAAATAATTATAAGGAATAGGTACCTACGTATAAATATGCGTATATAATATACGTATAACGTATATGTCTTTAAAAAAATAAGGAAATTCTTCTCCCACATCACTCCACTATTCAAGTACTGTTCATATAGATTGATAATTACAAAAAAGGTAAAACTTTTACTTTAAATTCAAACTTTAACATAGCTACCGGATACGCACTTCAAAAATATTTTCAACCATATATTTTATCATAAATAATTTGTATGTGTCTGGGCTTTGATTTCAATAAATAAACTATCCTTGCAGCGATTATATTGAACAAATATATTAACTATTTAGGTAAGGTAGTTTAATTATTAGACTGGTACGTTAGGTATAAACAAAAAAAAAAAATTTCAAATTTTTCATACTTAATCAGCATTATGTTTAAAATATTGTACAAAATTATTTAAATGAATGACAACGAATTAAAATTTTCAAATGAACTTTCCGAACAGCTATATGTTAAGGGTGTGTAATTTGAATTTTCGAGTTTTTAAAGTTTAGGTAGTATTGATTTAGTTTTGAAAAAGTTCATAACTATGGCCTATATAGTGGGGCCATCCTGTAAGTTTACTTGGTTACGACACTAGGTAATTATTTCGAATTTAAATTTGCAAATAGATAGGTGTAAATTATGAAATTATAAGTAAATCTTATGACAGTAAAATGTCGTTAAGATGGAACTTCTGTAAGAAAGAAACCCCGGCAGTACGGACAATTTCGTTGGTCCCAATTTAAATACATAATGAATGTGACACCCCCCCCCCCCGTCAATTCGGAAACTCCATTAAGACTGAAAAATTGGACGGTCCTAAGCAATTACACTTTAGCAAAGTTTTTCTTTACTTCTATAAATTAGACTGGAAATGTAATGCTCTTAAAATATCTGAAAATGCCCTAAAAATTAAAAATAATACACTTATAAAATGCTCATGTATTTTTTATTTAATTTTAAAAAAAGTTACACAATTTTAACTCTTCTACGTGGATTTGTAATCTGAAAAAATAACTATTCTCATTTAATTTTCTATCACCAATCGTAATTTCCATTTTTTGAGTCGTATTCATTTGATAAATGACTCAATAATAGGTATTTGATCGGGTAAAAAATAATAATTAATATTGTAAGAAAAGTAAATAGTGTTACCTTTTTTTAATAAAAACCTTAAAATACAATTTAAAGAACCCTTGTGTTAATGTTAAATAGCTTGAAAAATATAACAGACGACCTCACAATTGAAAATTATTAAAAATAATTCAAAATTAAAACTTTTTATTTCAAAAAACAAGAATCGCGTACAATGAGCTTCAGAAATCAATGCTAAGTCCATTGAAATCCCAGCCCTACTACAATAAGTAATATTAACAATAAGTCGTGAATTACTTAGAATATGATTAGGTATTGAACTCTTTAATGACACTAGGTATATACCAATATACCTATATTATACATAACAATAAAGTTTGATACCTATACTTCAAAATTTAATTCTTAATAAAATAAATGTGAAGCGACAGAGATATATATTAGATACATATACGTATATTAGATAATATTTAGATTCCCTGCCGTTGCTGCTTGAAATTAAAACCATTCCTATAGGCTATCCTTTAAGTAATACTATGTATTTTAGATATTTAATAAATAATTCATTTTGAATTGTTCAATAACAATACTAACTGACTCAGTGTTAATGTCTATAATTTTACAGGGATTTCAGGGTAGTGTTGATGTTAATCTAAAATTATATAATTAATTAAATATTATGTGCCTATGTTTTATATAGAAAAACTTGAAGCATGTAGACAAGAGAGAAATAAATTGTTGCACTGTGAAACTATAACTGGTAGTACATCAACACGAAAAAAAAGAAAAAAATGTCTGAGAAAAGAAATGTCGTTCTATCGAAACAATATTGCTTCAAATATGCGACGCACCAAGTCTATTCAAAATAAATTAAATGAAGACGAAAAGTAATTATTTCGTTATAAATTATAATACAGCAATTATATTATATAGTATAGTACACGCACATTGATGCCAGGGGTGGACTGGGCTAGCGGGATATGGGGAACTTTACCGGTTGGCCGCCACTCTTTATATATTTATAATAAGATCGGTATTGGGTATAAATATAAATTATAAATATTTTATATTTTCGTCGTAGAATTCGTGAGTGATAAAAATTGTTTATAATAGGTGTTTAAAATGTATGGTTTCGGTTCGGCTGAAAAAAATAATTTCGTTACTAATATTTCTATTTTTATTACGTAGGTATTATGTTTGCTACCATGACCTATGACTTCAGCTGTACAACTGACTTGCCAGTAATTGTCAAAACTTTCTATTTGAAAATATTAAATATCATCCGATTACCCAGTGCTATAATGCAACACAAAATACAACCCTATACTTGCCTATCTAAATTTTATTTTGTATTCATTTAATTGGCTTTTAATTTATCTGGGAATTTTATTAAGCTTTGTTATATGCACAAGCATTAAATCGAATTTTTTTAAGGTATTTTTCTTGTTTGTTTATTACATTTAAATCAACGCCCTATTTAAAACTGAAGATGATGTTTATTCCACCAATTGATTACTTTATATATCCTAGCCAGCGAAATTCCAGAGGGGACTGACTAATGTCTCCATTTAGTTTTGAGCGTTCCATATATGATTTTATGTATAATGTCTAGAGCTAGGCTTTTAATGACCTAAAAAAATACACAAAAATGCACAAAAAATGGCAAAAATGACCTAAAAATTCTACCAAATCTGGTTTCCCCACTCGACACCCTACCATAGGTGAACCGTTTTATGAGCGTGGTGTCGCGGAGGGATGAGCAAAACTCGCTGGACAGGGTATAGATAATATTATGTAATAAGTTAGTAGGTTGTAAGTAGTTTAAATTTCCTCTTCCCGAAACTAAAAAAATATACGTTTTATTAAAATAGTAATAATTCTTTAGTGTCACAATCAGGGACTGGAACCGTAGGTACCTAAATACATTCTTAAATAGGTACACTTAATTACAAATACCTATTATTAAATAGAGGTTCTTAATATTTTCATTTTTTTATACAGTATTTAATTGATATAAATAAAATAAAAAGTTATCCAAATAGTAAGGGTTAAAACCGGTATTAACCGAACCAGAACCAAAATAGAAATTTTTGATTTTTGAGAACCGAAACCGAAACTAATAAAATCATAAAGGTACCAGTTTCTGGTCACAATGCACAAGCTACCTATTGAGCTACTTACGTATTGTAATGTTTAAACATATTTCATTAGATGAGGTACTATACATTATATAATATATATATAGGCATATGCCCATCTAAAAATCAAAATTATTTAAGTCCTCTTCCTTATTTTTATATAGACATATATAATATATTATAATTTAATGTATATTATATATTATTTATACTATAGAAACGTATATCATAATGTCACGAAAAGACGAAAACGCCGTTGTAAAAAATCGAAAAGCATAAGTGACCTGATGGATTTAAAAGAACTGTGTAAAGAAGTCGACAGGATTGCAATCCTCGAAAGGCGTGAACCAAACATGATGACTGACAAACGGAAAACTGTAAAAAAACGTTCGCGATCTGGGAACGCAACTCGGTATTAAATAATTCTTATCTTATATTCATTAATAATTTTTGGAATAAATATGCAAAGTCCTATTTTGCTTACATACACGAACACAAATAGTGTCTAAATTACCGCCTACTCATAAAAAAATTACATATCTTTGTCACAAACTTAAAATATTATTATACGTATTACATGTTATAATAAAATGTTAAAACAAATACACACACACACAAAATAACTATTCTGAAGTTCGTTAATGTATTTTAAGGACATTATTGTGTTTTCAGAAGCTTAATGGATATAAGTGGTATTCATATACCAGACCAAGACCGAAAGATTTTGGATAGCATGAGGCGAAAACGTGAAGAAAGACAGTATGGAGAGGATCTAGCGCATAGAGTAAATATATTCTGGGAACAAATGCGGGAAGAGGAAAAACGATTAACTAAAGAACAAAAGCAAAAATGGCAAGATTTTATAACGGCAAAACGAAATGTAGAAAATGGAGTTAAACATATGCGTTTGGATGAACTGCGCATGGCATTTGAGAATAACCAAAGACAGTTGGAAGAACATATGATACAAAAAGACATAAAAGTTAATGAACTCAAACAACAAATTGAAGACCGAAAGGTATCATACATTTTAAATATACTAATATTCTTAACATAATAAACATAATAATAGATGTGCTGTAATTTTGTCCATGTTCTATACATACCTATGTGTTTGGTCAGTCACATACTACTTTTTAGTCGTATTCATCCTTAGAAGGTATAGGAATACCTATGCTGGTATACTTACTTACACAGCTTATATAATAAATCATATAATAACAATGTATACAATTTGTCGTTTGCACATTCTGTATGACTATCTATGATGTTATTTGTTTGACAAAATAAAATATTATGCGAAAATAATTTGAATATTTGCATTTAATATTTGTGTACTAAATTATATAATAGGTATTTTAACTTAAAAACTTAATCCTTTACCAATAAACTAATATATCATCTAACATTTCTGGCTTGCGATTAATAAGTTAATTAAGTTTCATACTTGTGTATATTTTTATAGTTGTTTGAAAACGCATTAAAACAAGACACTGAGTTCAGGAAGCATAAAATCGCAAGCGATAATAATTTTTATGAACAAATGAACACTCTTCAACACAAAAAAAGATTGCATGATATAAATCTTTTGAAACAGAAAAAAGCGGATGAAATAAGAAATAAATCACTTCAAATAAGTCAAGAAGTAATTTTAGTTTTTTTAAGAGTTCTTTTTACAAATTTCGTTAAATCTTACGTCTTTATTATTATTCAATATTTAAATATATAAACTCTTTTTGAAGATTATAATATGTAAGATTAGCACAGACACCTAGTACTGAACTTTTTTACATTAATTTCTATTAAATCGAAATGATTGATTGGTGGCAGCCGACAGGTGCTAAATCTTAAAAATTAAACGAAATCGCCATTATGAGCCGATATTTTCTAATAAGTATATACATTTAAAAATTACAACTCAACCATCAATTATCAGATACAATTCAAAAAATGACTTATTAGGCACTTGCGATGTACCTATACGCAGTTATGTTTTTACTTTTAAGTCAATTTTAGTTATTTAAATCACAGCTACGCTATAAAAATGTTTTTTTAACTTGAATAACTTAATATTTCTCATCCATTATAAACTATAATCTTGTGCTAAGAAGTCGCAAAAATAAAACACGCATGTAATTTGCCTCCATTTTACAAACGTATAACATACCTAACTTTCTTTCAGTGAAACCAATTTTGTGTTGTTATATAGATTTAATATTTGAATGAATGAATGGCTGAATATATTATCAAACTTTATGAGACACCTAAGTTTAAGGGGTTTTATACATGCAATTCCAATGACATTTTGAAATGAATACACATTTTTTAAACACTAATTTAAAGTAATTTAAAAGTGCCAGTACCAACAATGGTAATTCTATAATAATAATATTATATTATAAAAAACGGTTTCACAAGGGAAAAACTTATACGAGAACAATATTTACAGTAAATATACTACACTTTCACACTACGTAGAAGAGAGCTTTTATGTGTGTTGTAACGTTTTTATTATTATAGATGATAATACCCACTAATTGTAAATTTTAATGATGAAAAAAAACAAAACTAATCTTGATAAATGATTCATTCGGATTATTTCTAAGTTATCAAAAAAAATAAAATATACTAGCACATGTATAAAGTGCTTCTCTTTTGGTAATATTACAGTAAATATTGTCCCCTTGATTTTCATTATCCAATTACTGTTGGCTTGGCGCTTACAATAATTCAATTTTTGAGCGAGTAATAAGTACATGTGTGTCATAGAGATTTAAAAATGATAATAAATCGTTTAAAAAGCAAAATATCTTAAAAACATAGATATTATATTTTTAATTTTAAGTTTAAAGATAGGTTAATTTACTAATATTTAAGTTAACAACACAAAATTAGATGATATGCAAGTCGGAGACAACACGCATGCTTATGTGACATTTTCTTAATAGAGAATATATATAACTACTATTCTTGCCCTTATAGAGAATTATGTCGTCAAATCGTATGGAGGAATTGCGACATGCTGTGCAATTAGAGCGAATTCAAGCACGGCATGATGATACGATCCGTCGCAAGTTTGATGAGTGTCAAGCGAAAGAACGCAAAGCTTTTCAAAATCATTTAGACAAAATGTCCATGCGTATGCGAGAGTTAGCTAATAAAAGGTGAGCGACAATTTGATTATAATCAATATGAACAATATGCTGCCAGAAAGAATAAGTCCTTATCATATTATTGGTATTTGTCTCGGAAGAAGTAATTAGGGTTTAGTACAAACGTACAATTTTGTTAAAACTGTGAGAAAAGTCAAAATAGGTAGGTCAAATTATAGAATAGGTAAATATAAGATGCTATGGGAATATTGAAAAAATCTGTTAAATTGAGAATAACACCTTTAATATCATAAATTCAATGTAAGTTGTAACTTCTAATATTAACTATATCATAGCCCTACATGACAAATTGAAGTAGGATGTTTTACCCTTGAATGGTTTGATACGTCCACCGTTGTAGATGCCGTACCCTCTATAAAAGAAAAATATATGCACCGGATGGACTTGGACTTTTTTTTAGCACCGATGATGACATATTTTGGTCAGAATGCATATTTTATAAGATAATGTATCTTCTTAAATAATTTGCAGATGTAAGATTTTGTTAAATTGTAAGACAGTTTACAGTTATTTAATTCTAAACTCACATGGACACATGGTGTAATATTATTTACTACCTATGATATTAATCATTAATTACTATACATTTCACAAAATCATGATGCAATAATTATTATTTTTAATTTAATAATTTAATAAAACATAGTAGTGGCTTTGCGAGGCGCGGTAGTACGCTTAATCTGCGGAAACGCTTTGAGTGTACTTACCAGCCGGCGTTGTTAGCTCTCGGATGCGTGACCATCTGGGTTTTTACTTTTTAGCAACATATCCTTACCACACGGCACACATACACAAACAAGTGTTACAAGTTAAAATCCTACCAACAAAAACCTACTAAAAAAATAAACAAAAATATACTCAATGGTCAGTTTCCGCATGTCCCTCCCACAAAAATTCATATTAGTTTAAGGCTAAACATTATTATTATAATACTATTTCTGTTATTTAATTGAAATAATACATTGTATGTATAACTGATTAATTATTTGTTTATCTGACAGTAAAACAAACTTAAAATTGAACAACCGTTAATATATAGGTAATATGTATTTATATTAATAACTATGTATAATTTTATTAGTTTACAGAGGGAACAACACATGGGTCAGGTTCATAGAGTAGCTAGAGAACTTGAAGATGGAATGCAAAGATGGCAAGATCGTATAATGTTAATGCAATATGAGCAATTAAGAAGAGCTAAAGAAAATGCGGCTCTGTACACTGATAATAAAAAACTTAGAACTGAGATAGAAAATAAACGTAGAATCTTAGAGCATTCTGCTAAAATACAAAGGTGAATTTTTCTAAAATATCTGAATAGGAATTAATGATTACATACATATAGAAAATATTTAAGTTTCTATAAATGTTATTAATGTAACAATTAAAAGAAGCACCAGTGCATACTGCATACCAAATAAAAAGTGTAGGTTAGATTATTTTTATTTAAATATCAACACTCAACAGCTATATATTTTTAATTATCATGGAATTTTTTTTTATTTAAAACACTATTCACCATTATACGGTGAACTATTATAACGCCTTTTGCTGCTTTCACTAAATCCTTCCGTTTAGTTCGATCCATTGAGTTATCAAATTTAACTGTTTTGAATAACCGTCTAGTCTTATTTTACTCTAATCTGCCAAACTTTGCCAACTATTCCTAGGGAACTTACCCGACTAACCAGTTGATCCTCAGGCTTCAGAGTATATTCCTTTCAGTTCTAAAGTCTTTAGTACTTAGATTGCTTAGAGTTTAATACATCTTTAATATTAGGTTTCTTATTGAGTACTTTGAAACTTTTTTTTTCTTTATTCGTATGTTCTCCAGTAACTTGGTGATTATAACGGGTTCGTATAGGTATGTTTTTCAACAACTTCCTCTCAGAAATGAGTTGCAGATCATGTTTCGCAAGTTAACATGCCTATTGGCTTATGGGTGTGGCCTTAATACCGATTTTTTAATCACCTTTGATTACTTAAATTAGGCTCATTACTTTAAATACAATATATCAATGTTCTATTCAAACCATGATAATAAATTCTAATTACACATTGAATTTCTTTTTGTACAATATTTATCACTATTATAATCTTATATAAAAAAATAACACATAATACATAAACATATTATATATTTAATTCATACTATACTACGATATACATAAAAAAGCATGACATTTTTAAAATGTGAATATACTCGTAGGTATTACAGTTAGATTAATACCCAACTTATACTTACATTTAACTATAAGTTATAACTCTCACAGATCAATATAATTTATTATTCAAGTATAAAAAAATCTTAAAAAATGTTTTGTGTTTTATTTAATTCTCTTTAATTTTTTTAAAGCATCATTATAAAATAATATATTAGTCTATACGTTTTTTTACAAATTATAAGTAAAATATTTACAGAGTGAAAGAAGCTGAACGAGCACGATTGTGCAATATCAAAAAAGAAATTGAAGAAGAAGAAAAGAAAATAAGAAGAATTAAACAGAAAAAAGATTTAGAAATTCAAATGGGTCGAAAACTCGCATTAAGTACAGCTGAGTTAAGAAAAGAAATTAGGTTTGTAAATTATATTTATTTTAAAAATCATTTAAATATAATTTGTTTCATTTTTTAGACGCAGTACAGAATTGGATTTGTTTACCCAACGATGATGAATATTATTCAATAATATTTATCATAAATATAAATTAATTAATATTAATATAAAATTTGAATGTAATACATCTATAATATTATAAGGAGAAAATAAATTAGATAAATGTTTTAGTTTTTATTTATCAGTTATCTCAAGAAACTGTTTAGACATTATTTAAAAATAAATTCTCAACATCAGCTTAGCTCGTAACATCAATAACCGTGAAATATTCAAAATCACCAAATTATTAAACTCAATAATAAAATTCGAATACACAAAGAGACAACTTGGCCCTCCCCAATGTCATCATTGACAAAAGTATGGACATACACGCAACTACTGCTGCCACAAACCGCGATGCGTGAAATGTGGAGCTGAACACTTCACTGATAATTGCACAAAACAACTGGAGGAACCATCAAAATGTGCTAACTGTGGCGGAAACCACACTGCCAATTATAAAGGTTGCCAAACCTTCAAAACAATATTAAGCCTCATCAAATCCAAATCCAAAACCAAAACAACAAAAAGAGATAATCAACACACACATACTCAAGCTGTACCACCTGCATTCCACAGAAGTGGGCACGATACGCTACGCTCAAACCCAAGGGAAAAACTCACATATTCCGAAGCCACAGCAAATACACCACCATCCGATCAACTTCTTCAAATCGTCACAAATCTCATTAACGAGCTAAAATTAATCCTAAACCCCCTCCTAGCTGCTTTAACATCCCTAATAAATAAATTTCCACTCCTCATCACTCCCACTCCTTAATTAACACACTATCTTCCGATCATCCATACCATATTCCAATTAAATTCTAAATTGTATTAATTGAAATAACAAACTTGTAATAACATGCAATATGTTGAAACATTTTAATTATAATAAATAAAAAAAATAAATAATAAATAAATAAATAAATACATTCTTACTCAAAGCAAATTTAGTGAATTATTTATTATTTTAACTAATACAACTATTATAGTATTTAAATTCTTAAATTTTGCGTTTTTGTGATTGTTTAATCTGTGTGGTTAAATCAAGTTTTAATTATTTTTCAAAGCTTCAGAGGCCAATAATTATTTTCGGTTTTAAAATCCAATAGTGCAGTTTGTGTAATTTATGTATTATTTTATTTTTATAGCATATTGCACATTATCATTAAAAGAAAAATTTTTTTGATATTTACATTTGAAAGAGGTGGTCAAACATGAGCCTTGAGATTCAAGATGGAAATTGGAGTATTTTTTTGTTCATAAATAGTTGGCATTGGTTACTCGGGAAGATGAGGTAAAGCACGCATCAAAGTGTCGCGGCCCCGGCTTCGAATAAACAAATCATATCTTAAAAGAATTAATATAAAAAATAATTTATAAAATGTTAGTTGCTTATAGTTTAGAGAGTAATTTGATCCACGTTCGGAAATATACCATGAGCTTTAAAAAATACACTAACATTAAAATACACCAATGTGACAATGTATTTTGTAGTAATTGATCATCACAAGCGAGTTCTACGGGCCTCGTAGACCTAGCCGCCCTCGTGTGGGGTATATATATAATATTCTAATATATTGTGTACTCAGAAACTTTTAAATTGAATTTGACAAAAAGAGATATTTTTTAGAGATGCCAGAAAAGTTTAGAGAGTAAGCAGTGTAAACGACAATAAAAATATACCAAACTCTAAATCTAATTCGCAATTTCTGGGTTGCCCTTCTAGGTCGAATTATTTGACAAAGCTGGGTACACTAAAACTGAGATACACCTATACATCGTATATACTATTTGTAGGATTTGCATAAAAAAACAACTTCACATGGGCGAAGCCGGGATATTCAGGTAATGTATATACATATGTCTTAAATATATACATTTGTATTCTTGAAGTTAGTAAACTAGGACATACAATTATCACAAATGTAATTGTTCTAATCTACTGCTGCGTCATTGTTTACTCGTTGTTCATATCTTAATGTTTTCCGCAACAATTAATGGAAGAAATTTCTGCAATCCAATAATACAAAAAATGTCATACTGTTATAATATTATAACCAAAAAAGACAATCGACCATGCAATCAATGAAACTACAAGTTCAAGTACAAGCTGATCCATGAGAAAATTTCGCAAAAGCCATGCAAATATTAAAACCCGTACTGACGTTACCAACCCGCGCCGCCGTCATCAACGTTAGAACGAGTCGTTAATCATAGTTGATACAATAAAACGCCATAGACCTCGATTGAGTGGTACTTAAATTGTCTATTCAACAAGCCGTTTGACTAATTTTTAGATTCTGAGTGGAATGATGAATATTTTTAATTGTTTTTTTGTTTTTGTATCTTTAAGAACAGTTGTTAAAGTACTTTTTTTCTTCAACTTTGTGTGGTTTCTCATTGAAAATACAACCTGTAAGGTATTTTTTTATTTTTAAGGGGTTTGGGGAAAAAATACTCAAGAAAGCACTATATAAAAACTAAAAATCAAGGAAGATGGGAATATTCGTTAGACCAGCAAATGTTTAAACTACCAATCACCAGAATAGTAAATATTTTAATAGGCTTTACTTGAAAAGACCTTTTTCCATATCTAGTTTCATTCAAAACTTAAATTTTATACTCAATTTGATAAAGAAAAAATAAGAAGTAAAATTTTTTTACAATTTTTATAGTATTACTATAATTATTATTTATTATGTATTTAATTTTCCGTACATCAGATAGGTATATATAGCTCAGTTGGTATACGTATCAGCTATTATTAATGTATTTTATTGTAATTATTTTGGCTGAATAAATAAATAAATAAATAAATACATTTTTATCTATTTTTATTTAAAATCTACGCCATTCAAAATTGGTTAATTCATGAACCTACATGTTTAACTAGGTGTCATTTTTATAGCATGACAATATTATATTCAAATAGTCTATTTAAATAAATAAATAATAACGAGTAACGACCATTTTAAAATTGTTCGATATCTTACTATCTTAATATTTTAATTAATGCGTTTTGTTTAAATAAATATGTACCTACCTTCTAAGTAATACCTATAAGATGAACCTGAAATCTCAATATTTTTCAAACTTATGCTGCAAATCTATATGCATCTGAACTAGAAAACCAGTAGTTTAAAATCGTTCATGCAATCTTGTTGTTGTTTCATAAAATATTTAAATTTAGCATTTGCTCATTTGGCTTTTTGTATTATCACAGTACAATAAAAATACATAAATTTATTAATTTTGTGTTGTTTCATTAATTGTGTTGAAAATGTTTGTATTAAAATAACAATATTGTATTATTTAAAGGAAAAAAAAATCACTATTAAAATGTTGATTGGTTCAAATAAAAAAAATAAAAAACATTTAAAATGATAATTTGACACAAGTGTTATATAATGACAAATTGTATTCATAAATTTAAATGTAAAACTGTTATATAAGACGGACATTGTAGACTGCAATATAGAATAATTGAAACTATAAATAGTTTTTAAATAAGCCAATTATTATAAACTCTGCCAATACAGATGTTGAACACATATTTTATTAGCTATTTTTGTTTTCATATTTTTATTTGCTTACCTTTAAATACGATATTCATAATAACATTTAGGAACATTGTGGGCCTAGTGTTTTGACAATTATTAATAAATGTAATGTTAGTATTTTTAGTGCCACCGAACAGTTCGTGATTCTAAATATATTATTTTAAGATAATTATTTCCCTTACGATAGTATAAATCATGAAAGTCAAACGAAACTTTATTAGTGGTATTTTATTAATAATTGCCACAATTATGACTTCCGTTTGTGCTGTTAAAAAAGGTAGGTAATATAATAATTACTATGTATACATTTTTTTCTTTTGGTACATTATCATACTTACGAAAGTTTGAACTGATTTACTGATTATATATGCTGGATAATACTAACAATAATAATATTTATAATTCAAGGTCCAAGTAAATTCAGTAAAGTAAAAGCATCCATTACGAGTTTCCTTACTATGACTCCAGCCGTTTATAAGAATTTTCAATCAAGTAATTTGAACAGTAAAAATTAATAATTGAAGACGAATAAGTTTACTTAGTGTTCGGATTAGATAAGTACTTTTTTTTATATAGATACATATAATAGATAATAAGGCAAAAAGTTATCTAGATAAAGATAAAAGATAAAAAAGTTGATTTTTCATAATGCATTATTAAATACACTTTTTAAGGGTACACCTTAGCGTCTATTTGCATACGATTTTAACACAGACAATAAGTTTAAATTAATGATTATTGTAGAAATAATTATTATTAGTGATAACTAGGTACTGAAAAATAAAAATGAGTAATACATTTTTTAAATGAAATATTTATATTTATATTTAAGCTTATAATAGTAAATAAAAGATCTTTTTTCTTTGATATTAAATATTAGTCTAATAATTTTTAATATTCAAATATTATTATTCATACAGGCCATTTTATCTAGATGGGGCAATTTTTTTTATCTTATATTAATATTATTTAGATAACTAGAAACCGTCTAGTTAAGTCTCAATACTGAGATATTTTTCATAATTATTATGACTAGCATTTACACTCTAACAACACACTAATTATTTTTTTTTCTCAGGTTCATTGGCAAGAAACTTTAACAAAGGTAAAAACATATTATGGTGTATTATGTAACTATATATAATATATGTATCAGCTAAGACAGGATATTTTAATCAGTATTGCATGCAAATTTTTGAATTAGGTGTATGGGACAAGAATCTAAGCTACAGTGACATCAATTTTTTTGACTTAAAATTTGTTTAATTCAAGTTTTTGCAATGTTGATTTGAGTGTAGCGATAAATGTATTGATTATATAATGACGTGTTAGGATCTTTTATTTATTTATTGTTGTGTCTGTTATCACTTATAGTAATTAGAGAAGTGAAAATGTTTAATAAATCTTTTCTGGTACCCTAGCAAATCTATTTGGTTCTTTGCGGCGAGAGAGGAAATTATGCACACGTCAATCTTAAAGCCAACATATTAATACATATTCCTTCAATTCACTGTCTAAGTTGGGGGCCATTGTAGTTTGTGCCCCCTACTTATTTTGTATTTTTATTTTTTAGGAGTCTGTTTTTTTAAAATTATTTTTCGTTCTTTGCTCACCACTTAAATATGGGATCCTTGTCTTACATATTTATAGAATTCTGTCTCCCACTACTCCTCTACCACAGCTATAATCATTTCCTTCTATATTATGTTAATCAAATTTTTTCTTTTGTCTTACTCTGTCAATCCTTCGGTATACATTTATTTCCATATGCACTCTTACTATCTCTCGATAATATGAGATTGTTTATTTAAACTTATTCTCACTTATTGCATGAATAATTGAGCATCTAAGATATCAGGAATTTAGATTACAATTATTTGGGATTTTTTTGAATAATCATACACCAAATCAGGCGGAGAGGATTTCGATGAATACACTTTCTAAGATCATTGTAGTTAAATAAATATTGTCTACGGACTGGTGTCACACACCATAAATTGAATTTAACAATATGTACAAGATAATGAGTTAAAAAGTTGTTTAGAAGCTTGTGGTGTATTTATAATATATATATATATATATATATTGTTTATATAATATTATACATTATAGTATTATACATGTTTAAATTATATAATATATTTTTTTTCATTTAACATTTGTCTTTAGTTATTGGACTTGCACCTTTTGTTAAGGAAGGTACGTTTATATTTTTATTTACTTATAGTTGAAATTGATATTGTGGTGCAACTATTATACTATTATCTCCTAAGGTTTATAGTTTTATACATAAAATATAATTACTTAATACTAATAATGTATAAGCTGTCTAGATGAATTTAAGAAACTAGAGGATTTAATATTACACGAAGCTGATTTAATTAAAATTGGGGCATTTAGACAACTTAACAAGATGTCCAATGTAAGTTTATACCAATTTTCTTTCTTTAACTGTCATAAATATATTACAAATTAGTGATTATCAAAACATTCAAATGAAAAAATGTATACGTACCTATATATTTTCAATAATTGTAGGTTCTGCCGGAGCTCATGTCAGTATCAGTTTAAAAACGATTATTTTTTCTTTTTTTTTTTTTTGTCTGAAGAAACTTTTTATAGTAGAAAAATGCTTAGATCTTCAACTTTGAGGGTGGTTTCTAGTGGAAATAATACTTTTCGAAATAATAAAAATAAAACAAAACTGAATTCTTAAGGAAAAAACCCAGTTTTTAAAAAAATGAATAACTGTAGTAACTATCATTGAGTTCAAATTGGTATCAATCCTTAGAAAAGGAAAAACAAAAAGTATCTTTGGTTCTATTCATTCCCATTATGCACGATATCAATTTACATAAATATCAAAAAATATCAAAAATTAAAATACTTATACTTTTGTGCATACATTTAAGGTCATGTTAGATATTTCTCGGCTAATTAGGTATAGTAGTTTAGTATTTACGTATATATAGCACATTAGCACTTTTTGAACCTAATCCTCGGCTTATTTTAATATTTTAATTTAAAACACACTTACCATAAACAATCAAAAACATAGGTTAAAAATAACGTAAGAGCTATGAGTTTTGTTTATTTGTTTAGATCGCCACAACTGACGATAAGAAAAAAAAGTTTATTCTTGCAAAACTAAGAGCTACCATAGAATTGATAAAATATTATGGTGTTGTATGGAATTGCCCGATGGTAAAATTCACATTTGTTCAAGGTATGTTCACAGTTTAACGCTTTAAATAAATTGTAGGTTCACCGTTCAACTTTAGTAATTCAAAATTCAAATGTCAATTGCTGTAAAACCTTTGATTTTGTATTTGATCTAAATTCATTTATTTGGAAAGCTATAAATTCTTTAAGGTTTAACTTCTTATCGTAGTGTCTACCTATGCTAGTTACTAGTTGAGGGATTTTGTTTGTGCAGTTAGGAAACTTAATTAAAAAACTGTTTAATTAATTTTAAGTAGTGTTAATTTTTAAATGTTGGAATACCTAAATAGTATTTTAACCCCTTTTAGGATTATACTATGCACATGGCTGTCAAAAATTATTTAAAGAGAATCCGGGTCAATGTCTCGAAAAGAAAATGCAGTTGTACACAGCCTTCATCTTCAGTCATAAGATTGAAGTAAATCGTTTAACGAGATTATTTTTAAACAAAACTTCTAAAGAAGTCGAAAGACACATGGGTAAAGAAAATAAAACATTGAAATACACAGACATCAAAATAGCATGCGAAGTAAATAATAAGCTGATTTTTTTTTGGACTATAAACTTACTATTGCAGTATTGCACCAACGATACTCATTTTTACTTTTTATAATATTTATTATAACCTATAGGTGCTATAGGTTATTAAGAACCTGTTCTATGAATTTTTATGTAAGACTAGTTAGTTAATTTTTAAATTAATGTAAGAACTCGAAAAATTTAAAACTACACATATTTTGAAATTTTTGCTTTAAATTAATACTTAATACTTATAATGTTATACATAAAAAAATAATCCAATAATCTAAATTATAATAATGGTAATAAGTAATAACTAATAACTTAAAACCAAATTATACTATAATTTCTGATTTCTGTTGTGTTTCTTGATAAAATAATAATGTTAAAAAAATAAATAGATATATGTAGACTCAACAATATATTCATTATCTATGTACTAATTAAAAATACATAACTTTTTTAGGCCGAGTGATGAATATGTTGATATTCAATAATATATTTTCTTCCTAGAAGTTTTCAAAAGTGAACATTACAAAACAAAAAATTTTTTTATGCAAAACCACAACATAGATACATTAATTTTTCACTAAATGTTTATTCGACCATCTTCCATACAATATGACGCTTATAAAATAAAATAGATTCAACATTAAAACTTATATTTTATGCGTATAATAAAATTAATTACTTCAGTAGCAATAATATCATAAGATATATTTACTAGTTACTAGTTACTACTAAGTAATATATAGGCTGATAAACAGACCATTTCACACAAAATGTTTTCATATACAATAATAATTCGTATTTAATACATTCATTACAGTGACCCACGCGACACTTAATGTACAGCACTGCATCGGAGCGGTACCCATCCTTCTTTTAAACTGAGTTGAGTCGATAATATATTCACCATATTAACTTTAAACTTGACGAGTTAAATTAATTATTTGATAATATTAAATAAAAACTTATAATTTATTGATCTTGTGTTTTCAACTAAGTTAATTTAATTATTGTTATTAAGTCAACCTTTGTTTTTTTATAAACTAAAAGTTATTATTATAAATATTAAGTTATTATACTAGACTATTCTCTAATATAATATATTATTATTATTATTATACGATAAAAAATATAAAAAATATATTTTATAAAAACAAATTACTCCCTATTAAATGTTATTTCCATTACCAATATTACATAATATGTTTTAAGTTTTCTATTAACATAATTGCTATATTTTTTTAGGTAAAATTAGCACAAGAAAATAAAAATATACTTTTAAAAACAGCAATGAAAATGTTTATGGGAAGTTCTAAGAATTATGATTGTGCTACCGAGTTATTACCATTTGAAAATGACTTAACGGAGATTGGTTCATATTCTGGAGAATTTCATTATTTAGTAGCCAGAGCATATGGCCACCAAAAAAATTATAAATTGGCTGTAGACCATCTTCGTAAAGCACGCCAAACACCAGTTTTTGACTCAAAGGTAATACAAATTTAAAAACAAAAACTTAATAGTTTAAATTAAAAAATATGTATCGATCTTTTATAAAAATGTTGAATTATAAAAACGATCCTCAATGAATAGCTTATAGATTCTGAGGGGGTGGAGAGTTAGAACTTAGAACACATTGTATAGTAGAAAAATACTATTCAGATCTTAAACTTCGAGAATGGTTTCTAGCGGAAAATTTGATCTAGGGGGTAGCTTAAAAAGGTTAAAAGTGAAAATGATGAGTACTTTTCAAAATAATCGGGATAAACAAAAAAAAATTAAGTAAAATTAGGGACAAATTGGAACGCAAAACCAGTTTTCAACTAATTCGATTTTGTATTTTTGTTGTACTTAAAAATTAATAACTGTAGAGGCTTGAATTTTTCACCAAAATATAATAATCAAATATATTAGCATTTTCTACCATTACATAATTTTTAAAATACTTATATTAGTCTTAGGTTTCTTACGACGAACCTATTCTTTACATCAACAACTTATTTTCTGTTAATAACAGCTGGTAATATTATTTGATATTATATAATTACTTTATAATATAATATATGAGATCAATTTGTTCAGAATATCGTACAACTGTAAAAGTAATAGCTAGAAGAATAAAGTATAACAAAATATTTCTGGAAATAATGTGATTAATAGACCGAACAGAACTCATTGTGGGTACAATGATTTATCATTGAATTAAAATTTAACACATCCATTATAGTGATCTACTTGTTTATGAGGTAAGTACACTCAACATTTTCTACGCATCAAAGCGAAATTTCTAGTTTCTACATTTTTTTAATAAGCATTTAAGTTTTGATAAGTGGAATCCAAATTTCGTATTCCTTTTCACTGTACTTATATTTAAATTTTAAATGCTTAAAAATGGAAAACTTTTCATTCCGTATTAAAAATTTTTAAAAATGTATAAATCAACATTCTTACATAAGTATTCGACGTACAAAATGTTATGAAAAATATAATAATGTGTTGCCTTTTAAAAATAAAAATTCGATAGTGATTTCATTAACAAGTGGTATAAAAGCGATATAAGTTCAAAAAAATAATGGAGCTTAAATTTTCCAAAAATAAGGTTTTTTTTTTTTAAATTAATTACCCTGTAGCAGTGTTGCCTGAATTATATTAATTATTCATGTTTTGTATTTAACCATTGTTTTCTTTATCGTCTTGTTGTACTTAAAATACCATAGTATCTACTAATGTAAAATTATGTTTTTTTATCAACAGACTCGTGAAACCAATAAAAAAGTACAAGCATATTATGAAAAAATGTACACACGTTTGAATGCAAATGTCAAATAGCAATAAATAGACAATATTTAAAAATTATAGATACAATTCTAATACTTATTTTAGTTTTACTTGCATTAAAAAACAAACAGATTTAAAATACAATTATTTATTACATTTATGACTTTGAAATAAAATCCTTTATTTAAAAATATTTAATTTATTTACTACATTTTTATTTCTAAAAATTACCTATTAAAGAATTTTACTAAGTGAAGAATGTCTATTATTTATATTTAGTGGCTGTTGTATACTTGTGTGTAATTGCTATGCTACATTTTCTTCTGATTTAGAAAAATGGGATTTTGTTATGTTGTAGTAATTAAAACAATGGTGTACATACTGAAAATTTATACCAACAATTTATAGGTACGATATAATTATTAGAAATTTTTTTCCCACTCAATAACATTTTCTCAGTAAATAATTTTATGAATAAATTATATGGTACCTATCCTTAGAAATAGAGGCAGACACGTTGTCTCTGTTAACGATCGGTTTATTATTGAATTTAAATATAACGCACATCCATTAAAGTGACCTACTTAATTATGAGGTACGTACTCGAAACTAGAAAACTTCTATACAGCTCGATACTTAAAACTTTTTTGCAGTATTATTATTACTATTAATTCTTCTTTTACCATATTATATTGAGCGTATATTGATGTTGTTCGGGTCTGATATTGTGAATCTTGTATATAAAACATAGTAAGCGGAACCATCATTTTTTAAATATAACTGTAGTAATGTAGTTAGTAAAAATATGGAATATTGATACCATCGATAGTCACTGCCATTAATTTTACCTAAAGTACTTATTGATTTATTGTTATAAATAATGTACCTAAATGACTTCTCCGAAAATCAAAGTTACAGACCTTAAAGAGTGTGTATTTTTATGTTACTGTTTGCCGATAATATTAAATCGTTTCTCCTAATTTACTTCATGCAGGAATATTAGTATTAGTATTCTTCTCCGAGAATATTAAAAGAACTTCATCTGATTTCAAATTGTACAATTCAATTAAGGCTCTTCTCGGTTCATTTGTACGTCCTCACTTGAAATATGTTGTTGTTTATGGAGTTCTTGTATAATTAGTGACCAATAAAAAAACGAGCGTGTACCGCAGAAATTTTTCAAATATGCAGCACATGACTTTCAGAATGGTTATCCACCACATGGCTATTCACCGGTGCTTTAAAATCACAACCTATCAAGCTTAGCAGATATGAGAGATCAAGTACATTTGCTTTAGTGTAAATTAATTGACGGAAGTCTTGGTACTTTTTACTTGCTGTAGCAATGACTGTCAATTTTTACGTTCCTCTGTTTAATTCCCGCCTACCGCCTAGTATATCTTTTCCATACCCATTTTTGTTCCATCAATTATGTGTTAAATTGTCATCTCTCTCGAATGTTGAAATTGGCCAATGAGGAACCATTATTTTTTTATTTTAGATTATTTACTTGTATTCTTTTTCAATTATTTAAAGTGTAACTACTATTATTATTTTAAGATTTTTTCAATGTTCGTGCATCTTTATAAATATTTTTGGATCATTATGTATTTAACTTCTCCTAGTTGTATTTATATTTAAATTGGGCAAGCCCCTTATGCTACATATATGTAATAAACAAATAAATAAATAAATAATCTTCGTCCAAGGTGTACCTAAATTGCCGATTCAACACGCCGTGTGACTAATTATTAGATTCCGAGGGAAGCGATGATTGGTTTTCCGGTTTTTCAATTATGATATAGAAAAACAATAAATTTAATCTTTTTTAAAATTTTATTTTTGACAATTATTATTCTTAAAGTTTTTTAAAAAAAAAAATCACCATTTCAGAATTGCTCGATATTATACACTCATAATTCATGAAAGTGCATATTATTCAGAAAATACCGAATTAAATAGAAATTAGATATTGTTGTATATTTTATTTAAGTTAATATGTATTGTATATTAGTAGAGTAATAGCATTTATTTTTAATTTTTGCAATAGTTAGACGAAAAGGTGAAACCATAGTCCATACTTAGCTTTAGATAACCAAACTTTTATTTCAGTTATTTATTGACTTTTTATATTATAACGGTACAATAAGAATATTGTACTAATTGATTTTGTGTTGTTTCTTTATAATTATAATGAAAATATTGAAAATGTATTAAAATTACAATATATTATTTACAGGGAAAAAATCATTATTACAATATTAATAGGTTGTAATAATAATTTTAAAAAAAATGACAATTTGACACGTGTTATGTTCTGAGTAATTGTATTCATACATTTTAATGTAAAACTGTCAATTTTCTACGACGAATATTATAGACTGCTGAGTTTTAATTATATGCGTTTGTTTAACAAAGAAAACAGTTAATTTTGCTATACATAAAGAATAATTGAAAACAGCTAAAGTTTTTAAATAGGCCGTTTAAATCAGCAGTTTAAATTATTATAAACTGTGCGCGCATACAGATGTTACACACCTATTTTTTATTTTTTTATTTTTTTATTTACGTATTTTCTTTTCATATTTTTTTAGTTGTTTACCTTTAAACACGATATTCATAATACAATTTAGTAACATAAAGTGGCTTAGTGTGTAGTACTTTGACGATTAATAAATATAATTTTTGTATTTTCAGTACAAACAAACTACTCGTGATTCCAAATATATTATTTTTAAATCAATTTTACCCATATAATAGTATAAATCATGAAAGTCAAAAGAAACTTTATTTGTGGTATTTTACTAATAATTGCCACAATTATGACTTCTGTTTGTGCTGTAAGAGGTAGGTAATATAATAATTACGATGTATACATTTTTTTATCATTCAAAATAACAGTAAAAATAAAATTGAACACGTAAAAATGTATGATTCATTTATCCCATTAAGCATGGCTTGTATTGGGGTAAATTAATTACAAAAAAAAAAAAAACAAATATTAAAATCAAAATTTATAATTATAGTAATTCCTACACAAAGTGGATTTTTGAACTATAACTACCTATACTTAATAATTTTCTATTATGTTATTAAATACTTGTGTCGACTTGTGAGTTGAATTAATTATATTACTTTTTCGATTCATACCCACTAGGCGATTTTCATTTCGCCGACAACTCAGTTTGCCTGCATAAAAACCTGTTGTGAAATATTTTTAATATTATTTTATTAATATAGTTTCAATTTTTCCGATTCACTGATAGGTGACAATAATTTTATGGAAAACGGGTATAACAGCAATAATATTATGGTATGTTGTCGATATAAGTTCAAAGGTACTATTTTTATAATGGTACTATAGGTACTAATTGAGATAACCTGTACCTATATAAAAAAAACTTAAAATAAACCAAAATTAATTTAAATACACAAAATGAACATAATATTTGTAAAAATGAGCTTAAAAATGCAATAACATGCATGTAACATAAGAAATGTAAATAATGCAAAATAATAATTACATATTCTAAATTGTTATATCATGAAACAAATTTAGTTTTTGGTTAGAACTGTTCAGCACTTAAATTAAAAAAGTGCAAAAGTCAACAAAATCCTAGCTCTAGTAATAACCCATATAAGGCCATTTTAGTAAATAAATTTATATAGGATTTAAGACCACGATGAACCATAATATTGTCTAGGAAATCATTATCAACTTTCCTGCTTATGTCAATATTTATTTCGCCCACTATGACAGTATAATCACTATCTAAAGTACCTATCCCGTAATCTAAGGTCATAAACTCATTAATACATAATATTATTGTTTGTCAACCTGTAAGTTGTGTGAATAACTGTAGTTGTACTACCAATAAATAAGTAATAGTAAATAGTAATATGAGTACAATACTGACAATACTCATAGCAATTAACCATGACATCATTTTCGGGAAAACACTATCATTTTTGGTTTAGTTTTTTTCGATGAAAAATAAGTTACTTAACGATGCGCGATATGTTTATCTTGTATTATAATATTATCCTTATTAATATTACAAAATAAACGAACAGGATTCAGCTACTTTTTAAATGTATTCGTATTATGCCTATATATTTTATATGTTATGTACATTTGAAAGGATAAATGTATGGTGCTATGGTATTTAATTAATGTTGGAAAATAATTCAATAATTCTAACCGACATAATATATTGCAAAAATGTGAATATAATTTCATAACAACAATTTATCGAACAACGATTGTTTATTCATACAACTTATTGAATGCAGTTATTTTAATTTTTACTTCCTTCTGGTAAAAATGTTTATCAAGTTTGAAAGAAATGATAATAGGATACAACTTTCGATGAGAAATGGTATTATTATACGGCTATGGTTGATAATGAATACATAACTGCTATCATTGTAACAATTTTACTACATTGATTCTAAATCCTTTCATGCGTAGCTAATACCAAAAACTTACGTGAAGTATAATTTTATAATGCTGCAAACTAAAATTGATTTTTATTTAATTCAAGCCTGAGAAAAATGAATACATTTAAGTTCGTAAATTTGTATTACTATTTATTTTATTGTAGATATTCATACTGCCATGAAAATTCATTTTTTTAATACATTAAAATGTAACATATTTAATACAGTTCAAACCAAGTTCAAACCAATTATGTACTTGATAATACTAACAATAAATAATATGTATGATTCAAGGTAAAAACAGATTAAGTAACGCAAAAACTTACCTCATGAGTATCTTTACTATGAGTCCAAACACTGTCAAGAATTGGAAATCAAGTAATTTGAATATTGAAATTTATTAATTGAAGGGAAAATTTAGTTTTTTATTATTAATAATGATGTGACATACTATTATGTATTGGTTTTCACTTAAAATGAAAACATATAGTTTCAATAAAAAATACATTAAATTCTAATTAACTGGTATCAATCATGTCTGGCCAGTTCATAATTTTAAATGGTAAAGTATTAGTATTAACTATTAGCATTATTTATATAAATAGTATTCCAAACTATAATTTATAGTATATTCAGTGTTGGGATTGGATAAGTAATTGTTTCTAGATAAAGATACATCCATTTCTATCAAAAAAAAAAAAAAATGATATTTTGCAATAATACATTATGAAACCTGACTTTTTGAGAGTACGTCTTATTTAAACTATTAAATATGATATAAATTATAAACAATACATTTAAACGAATGATTGATATTAATGGATAATACATTTTTTAAACTAAATATTTATATTTATAATTAATACTTATAATTTTATAATGATGAATAAAATAATTTGATTTGTCTTTAAGTTGATGTTAAATATTACTATTATAATAAATGTATGTACAATATGAATTATTTATAATATAAGAAATTATTGTTTATACAAATATTTTTTTTTTTGTACGGACGTATTTGTCTGAATATATAGGTTTCAGGTGAATTAATTAAATCTTAGATTATTATTTAGATACCTAGTAAATAATTATCTAGATAAGATAAAAGATAACTAAATATTTATCGACATAATTATCAACAGTCAACACTGAATATATTATCATAAATACGCCACTGCCACAAGTCTTCTAGGCTTGACTCATAGTATATGTTAACAATTTGTTTAAATTCTATAATAATTAACAATCGTCCTTTTAAAATAATACACAATACATATACTATCGACCAGCTCTTCACTTTATAAAGCCAACATGATCGGATAAAAATTTCTAGTCGTAGGTATAGTTATCATTTATGTGTTTTAAAAAGGTATAAAATTCAAAATTATATGAATTATATTTTCTAATCAAGCATAATGTATAGTAATCTAATAAGCAAAAGAAATTAGATAATTTATTTTTTATTAGAAATGTACTTTAGCTTCGTTCGTTAATTGTTTTAGTTTTGAGCATGTAGGTATACATAATATTTTTTATAATTTATGGCATTTACACGTAAACAATACATTAATTATTTTTCTTTTTTAGGTTCATTTGCAAGAAACTTCAACAAAGGTAAAAACATATTACAGTCTATTATATAGGTATTTATTATATATTATGCACTTAACATGTATCAACAATAACAGAGCATTTTAAATTACATTAATCACTATCTTATGCAATATCTTATCTAGGTTATGAAAAAAAATCTCAGCAACAGTGTTAGGTACAATACTATCATACGAAATAATATTACCATATTATTTTTTTTAAACTACTTGTAGCTTGAAATGGGGAATATAACCAAAAAATCACAAACGACTGTGCCCTTTAGCCGCAAAAATGGGACGTCGTTATTTCCTCACATGTTTAAAAATTTAAAAAAAACAACGGTAGATAGCGCTGTTATGATCATTCCGACGCATTTATTGTCTGACTTTATATGGGGGGGGGGGAGGCAGGGTGACTCCCCTATTATTTCATTTGTTTTAAACAAGATATTATTGTTTAGGTTGATCGTTCTTCTAATTAGGCTAGTATTCGTAGGGTACTTACGTTAAGCCCATTGTTAGTAAAATAAATGTATAGTGCCACTATACCCTACAGACTATAGTTTAGTTTCATGTACCACAAACTGAATTAAAAGATATACGTATTACGTACTAATAGCTAAACAGTGTTCCCCGTTTTCAAGAGCACGTGGCAAATTTATAATAAATATTTTATACACTATAAGTACATTACACAATATTATACAGTATTAGAGTATGATAGACGTCTTAAATATGTTGAAATTATAAAATGTATTTACTTTTTCATTAAACATATTTTGTTTTCAGCCATTGGATTTGCACCTATTGTTAAAGAAGGTACGTCATTTGATTTACTTATAATTAAAATGTATGTGTTCAGAGCAACTTTTATATTATTATTTCATAAAATCTATACTTAAAATAAGATTACTTAATACTAATAATTTATAAGCTGTGTAGATAAAATTGAAGGTCTATTGACATTAATAGCAAAGGAGCCTGATTTAATTAAAATTGGAGCATTTAGAAAACTTAACAAGCTGGACAGTGTACGTTTGTATTAATTTTCTTTCTTTGACTGTAATAAATATATTAAAGATTTGAGATTTGTGTTTAGTTGTTAGCCACTAATCACTGATTACCAAATCATTTAAATTTAATAAATGTATATAGGCACAATAGATATATATTTTCAATATTTTTGTGTTCTGAACGGAGCTCATGTCAGTATTGTTTAAACAACGATGTGTTTTTTCTTTTTGTGTATCTATGAAGAAACTTTTTATAGTGGAAAATAAACATAGATCTTCAAACTTTAAGGGTGGTTCCTGGTTGAAAAAATGTAATATATAATTTGGTAATATAATTTAAGGGTGAATATCGAATGTCAAAAAGTTTAAATTTCAAAAGCTCATAAAAATTAAAAATTAAAAAAAACACATAATTGTAAAATCTATGCATTCATCGCTCCAAATTTAAAATAACGTGAAAGCTATTAATTTTGTTTATTTGTTTAGAGTGCTACAACTGTGGATAGTAAAAAAATATTAATTCTTGCAAAAATTCAAGGCACCATAGAATTGATAAAATATTATGGTGTTGCCTACAATTGTCCGAAGGTAAAATTCACATTTGCCCAAGGTCAGTTCATAAACTTTAATTTTTGTAATTAAAATGCCAATTGCTGTAAAACTCTATTTTTTATGTATTGAGCTATAGATTTGAGGCCTAACTGTTTATGATAGTGCCTATGCGAGTAGTTGAGAGATTTTGTTTGTGCAGTTAGGAAACTTTAAAACTTAAAAACTTATAAACTTAAAAATTTAAAAACTTTGTTTAATTAATTTTTAAATGTTGGAATAAATAAATAGTATTTTAACTTCTTTTAGGATTATACTATGTATACGTCTGTAAAAAATTACATGGAGAAAATTCGGGCGATTGTCTCAGAAAGAAAGTTCAGTTGATTGCCGCATTTATGTTCAGCCATAAGGTAGAAGTCAATCGTTTTGTGAGATTTTTTTTAAACAGAACAAAAAAACAAGCCGAAAATCTCATTCCAGGCGATCGAACGATAAAATTTATCGATACGAAAATAGCGTGCGAAGTAAATAATAACTATTATAAGTATTTCGCTAATTATTTCAAATGATGAATGATTGTACTTTTTGGACTATAAACTATTGTCTATTGTACACACGATACCAATTATTTACCATAACCATTGTAACCCGTGTATGAATTATCGTTTTAACATGAAAATGTAAGATTAAAATACAACACTTAAGTTATAACTAGTTAAAAATTATAAAATGATTCAATTTTATAGCTAAGTATTAAAAATTTAAAACATAGTTTTTCACTAGTAAATCATGATGTAGTCATAATATCTAAAAAAAAATCCGTCTTCGTTCAGTTTTTCGTATACTGACAGTGATTAAATATAAATATAATCGATCTTAACTGTAACACATACATTGCAGTGACCCAAACGACACCTGTTGTACAGCAGAGAGTAGTATCCACTTGCCCACCTTTTTTTAAACTGAGTTATGTTAATATATTTGCCAAAAAAACTTTGAACTTAACGAGTTTTTTTTATTAGCTTTTTGAATTTCAATAAAAATTTGACAATATTATTGTAGTATAAAAAAATTTTTGTAGTACAAACTCAACGAGTCAAATGTATTATTTGTTAACTATATTTACTATTAACTTCTTACTCAACGATTTTGTGTTCTCACCTTAAATTGGGCTATAATTATTATCATTGTTAGCCTACCTTTGTCATTCTTTAATAATAATAATAAAAGTTTAATGTATTAAATAAACACAATAAAAATTTATATTTATAAAAACGAATTACCCTCCATTCAATGATTTTTCTTTTATATTACATATTATCTTTTAAAATTTCTATTGACATGTTTGTTATTTTTTTCAGATAAAATTTGCGCAAGACAATAAGAATGGTTTATTAAGAGCAGCAATGCAATTGTATATGGGTACTTCCAGAAAAGATAAGAATTTTAATTGTGTTACCGAATTAAAGCAATTTGAAGGTGAACTAGCGAACATTGATTCATTTGCTGCAGAATTTCATTATTTAGTAGCCAAAGCATATGGCAGCCAAAATAATTTTGCATCAGCTATGGAACATCTCATTAAAGTACGCGAGGAAGATGTTGTAGACTCAAAGGTAATACAAATTTAAAAACAAAAACTAAATAGTTTAAAGTAGAAAATCTATATCAAGTTTTTATAAAAATGTTAAATTATAAATATTAAAATATCTATGTTCAACGAATAGTTTATAGATTCTGAGAGGAGTGGAACGTAGGTACACATTCTAAAGGAGAAAGCATACATTTCAGATCTTTACTGTCCTCGATGTTTCTTGTAGAAAATTAGATTTAGGTGGTAATTAAAAAAGGTCAAAAGTCAAAATGTACTTTTCAAAACACTCTGGAAAAAACAAAAGAAAAAAATTTAATTATGTACAAGTTAGAATTGAAAAACCAGTTTTCAACCAATTCGATTATGTTTTTTACTGCACCTACTTAAAAATTAATAACCCCAAAGACTTGAATATAAACACCAAATAGTATTCAAATATATTAGCACTTTCTAGCTGTATATAATTTTTAAGATATTTAGATAAATGTTGAGCTTTTTTAAGAAGAACCTATTCTCATGCGTCATCGACCTGAGCGCACGGCAGTGCGCCAGGCCAAGTTACAGCAATGCCAGTGTATCTTTACACGAACCGATTCGCCTTTTTTTTCTAACCCATATATCTCTGTTTCTTCTTTATAAACTTTTGAAATTTAAAACACAGATTAACCTCTAGTAGCTTAGGATGCTGTAAGAAAATGAGCCCTTAATATTGTGCCATTTCAAAATAGCAGGATTTCAAAATGTGCAATATTGTTACTGACTGACTGACTGACTAACTCACTCACTCACTCACTCATTGATCAACAAAATTATAAGACACTTCCCGTATAGGTAGAAACGTGAAATTTGGCACAAAGGTAGATTTTACAGTGTAACTAAAGGGAAAAATCTAAAAATTGAATTTTTTTCAAAATGAATGCCTCTCCAGAGTGTTTATTTCTAAACGTATGAAATGGCGCGCTTAGCACGCATAAACGTTTACTTTCAAACAGCGTTACAATATGGTAATAAGAAATTATTTGTAGTTGAATTATATATATATATTTATAAAACATAATCATGTTTTCGTACATTTATTTTATTCAAATATTCAGCTATTAACTGCAGCTTTTAAATAAAAGGGCCGTACTTGGGTATCTTTGCCTGGTATTGACAACGATCAAGAGTCCAATTTCTCAGCTCCTCAACAGAAACCCAAACGGTCTTACAAGAGAAAATCTAAGACGTATAAAAAAATAAATTTAAAAAAATTAAAAAATTAATAAAAATTAATTTAAAAAAATAAAAAATAAATAAATAATATCAACACGTCGTCCACGACGCTGAATCCCGCAAAAATAAATGATATCCCCCAACAAAAACATAACAGTGAAAAAAGGCCACGTTCCAAACTCCCCCCCCCAAAAAAGTCGGCCTATCAAAGTAGTGAAATCTACATTGTGGCCAAGTCTGCTATTTTTTAATTCATAACCTCAATGCACTCCTACATTAAAGAGCAACACTTCTATTTTATTTGTATTGTTTAACACTTGGTCAGTTTCTGAATGAGGAATAAAACATCATTATCGAATGTGCTCACTTATGACTTACGAGGGTGATGGGGAGAAGAAGATACAAAAAAAATTAAAAGGTTTAGATTTCTTCTCAAAAAAGACAGCGAATCATAGTAAGTAGTGGTATCTACATTGCGGCCAAGTCTAGTTTATTCCTCATTCAGAAACTGACCAAGTGTTAAACAATACAAATAAAAGAGAAGTGTTGCTCTTTAATGTAGGAGTGCATTGAGGTTATGAATTAAAAAATAGCAGACTTGGGCCGCAATGTAGATTTCACTACTTTGAAAGGCCGACTTTTTTGGTAGGGAGTTTGGAACTTGGCCTTTTTTCACTGTTACGTTTTTGTTGGGGGATACATTTTACGTTAATAACAGCCGGTAATATTATATGAAATTATTTTGATTATAATTACCATATATGGTATATGCGATTAATTTGTTCAGCATATCGTACAACTGTACAAGTAATAGAAAAATATACCATCAAAAAATATCCTTAGAAAGTTAGAAATAATGGCTGACGTTCGTTTCTCAATAGAATCGATTGTACAATGATTTATCATTGAATTAAAATGTAAGACGTTTATTGCAGTGATCAGTGACTAACTCTCTTACGGGTGGGTAATAGCAAATTGACTTCTCCGGCTATTTTTTTTTTAATAAGCATTCAAGTTTTGATGAGTAAAAGTCAAATTTCATAGGCCAATTTCCATATGCATCTCTTCATTTAGTATTATAAATCAACACTCTTACATAAGTATTCTACATCCAACATTTTATGAAAATAAAAATATATATTGCTGTTTAGATATAAAAAGTGATACCATTAACAAACGGTATATAAAAGTGGTATACAATTTCAAAATTTCAAAGTTGTATAATTGATTTAAAATTTTCTTAAGTAATGTTTAATTTTTCAAGAGTTACCCTTTAAATATTGTATTTTTACATGTTTTATATTTAACTATTATTTTCTATATCGTTTTGTTGTACACAAAATATTATAGTACTAACAAAAGTTTATGTTTTTTTGTCGTCAGACTCGTGAAATCAATAGAAAAGCACAGCTGTATTATGAAAAAATGTACACACGTTTTAATGGAAGTACCAAATAGCAATAAATAGACAGTTGTTAAAAATTATAGATTAATTCTAATACTTATTTCAGTTTTGTTTGCATTAAAAATACACAGGTTTAAAATATATTTATTTATTACATTTTATGTTTTTTAAATGAAGTCCTTATTTAGAAAAAATCAAATGTATTTACCTTATTTTTATTTCTAAAAATTACCAACTAGATACTACTATATTATCTGAAAAATATTAAAAATTATTATTGAATTGTCTGTAATATTCATATTTTTCGATAGTCACAACCATTCGTTTACCTTAAGTACTTATTAATTAAATTTTATAAATAATGTACACGACTATTATAATATAAAATGATACATGTTATAGTTTGGAAATGTTTGCAATACAATTATTGTCTTTAAAATAAAAGTTCTTTATTTAAAAACATTAAATTTATTACCTCATTTCGTTTCTAAAAATCACCTATTATAAAATACTGTATGATAAATATATATTATTTATATTTACTGGACATTGTGTGTGATTACTGATTAGGCATTATGCTTAATTTTCTTCTGATATATAATAAATGTTGAACATTTTATTTAAAATAATGGCTGAATAAAAAAACGATGTACCTGTAATGAATGTTAATTGTTATTTTATAATTATGTAACTTATTCTTAAGCCTTGATCAGAGAAATTAACTTGTAAGTTTTGTAGTGATTTTTATTTTTGTGTCTATCATCGCCTTCTAGAGTAGTAAAAATGCTTTAATACTAAGCTTTAGTGTGGTTGTTTCTAGTAAGTAAATTCGTTATAAATGGCAAATCGAAGTGTCAAAAGTAGAAAATTCCCAGGACCTATCATAGTTCATGACCAAAATGATCGGAAAATTGGAAAATGAGAATATTAACGCAGCAACAGTTCTCTACAAAATCGATTTTCTTATGTCGTTTGAAGAAGTTATACCCGCATGTGTTGTCTCCGTCTTACTTACACACAACACGGCAAACACTGTTAGGTTACAAATGTTGGAACAACTTTACTTTCTCTGTATTCATAGTAGAATTACCAAAATGCCACAACGCACAGGGAAGAACTTTATCAGTGACGTAGCTTTTCAGTCTTTTTAATAGCATTAATCAATAATTCTTAATAATTAAATGTAAAAAACAAAAAAAAACCTTATGTTCTCAAACGGATAACCTAGGAGTAAAGTTCAAATGTAAAAAGGCGAATGTATTAAATCATTGTAAGCATAGCCATCATTTTTGTAAGTATAACTGTAACAATGTGGAATATTGTTCTCCCCGATTTTGATGGTCAATACCATAATTTTTGTTCGTAGGTACTTGTTCATTAATTATTATAAAATAATGTACATGACTTACGAACTTATTAGTTAAGTTGTACATTCAGTCATCATCGCCGAAGAGCAATCATATAGTCCTCGAGGATTGATTTCCATTATATGTAGTCAATTAAAAAATATATATTACCGATAAAACGTTAAATGTTAGTTTCGATGTGTATAAAAGGATAAAAAGTAGGTAGACATTTTTAGTTTATATATATAGTATCGTGCAAGTTGATTTTTTTTTTGTTGTTATGTTTTTTGAAAGTCAAGTTCCGTAACCCCGAACAAATCCTCGGATCCGCCGCCGAAGCCGATCTTATAATATTGTGTCTTAATAATAGTCACACTGATACGCGGTTTTACAAGTGTCTGGGACCTAGTGCAGTTCCAAGGGTGCGTTAGGAAGGCGGTAAGGGTGCGCCACAAGTGGTTGTAATTACGAGTTGGTACATTGACTACACATTGACATATATTATTATTTTTTAGTCGTCTGCAGGTCAGTGGATTATCATGTCGATATGCGCCATGCACTACACAAACTGCAAAATAAACCTATACAGCTAGTACTCGCCGTTTATATTATTTTTTAACACTGAGTTGTGACCGCCAGTTTTTCGTTATATTTATATAATATATTATAATATATATTCAATATCACGTTATTGCAAGGAAATCCATTAAATTATTATGTGTACTTACTATAATATCATATGGGCGCATGGCACATTTCGACCACAACGGACAGAAAAAATTCACAATTGATTCCATTAATATTATAACGCACCACATCTTTTATAGTTAGTCCTTTATAGCGGATATTTTTGTTCGTCGTAGTGGCATCGCAGAATTTTGTCTATATAGGTATATAATAATAATAATACATAGCGCGAAAAAGGCAGGAAATCCTTAGTTGTTGTCGACACCGACAACAATGTGTATATATGTATATATATATTTGTACCTACGCACGTATCTACCTTAAGGACTAATCGCCAAACTACTACTGGTATTACACTGTGTGTGCGGGTGTGGTCGGCTTCTTTATCTACCTACCTTTACCCTTCCCGGTCAGTGGGTCTTAATAGAAATAATATTTTGTACCTCAATTCACGTCAGATAAAGGTCAAATTTTACTACCGCGCCCGACTATTCATTGGAGTATACACACACACACACACACACACACACATATATACCAACATAAATACATACACATATTATATTATATAGATGAAACACATTATAACTATCACAATAAACGAAGTTATACACTACAATTGAATTCTATTGACTTATACCTATATGTTTATTTTCATTTTTAGAATTTGCAAAACACCGCGGCATCATTATTGTTAAATACTTTTCTCGTTAAATCGACTATTATAATATAACAATACAGGTCACCATTTATTTCTATGACTATTTTACCGTAAAGACCATACGAAATCGTCCTATTAAAAGTACGAATAAACTCGTAATAAACATTCTCAGAGTCAATATTTTTTAATTCGTCGTATACCTATATATATACTTATTGGTTTCAAAAATTCAAAATGGAATGGATATTATTCGTTCAGAATAATTTGGACAAGTGAACATTTAAACCTAAAAATAAATTGTCAACTTCCCTTGCAGCGTTAGGTTTAGCGTTCTTTATGGGTGAATTCACCAAAGCACAGAGGATAAATTATTTTTAAATTGGTGCTGTCATTGCTAACTATCCGAGATTTCTGAGCTCCGAGGTTGATAATTTACTAGGCAGTACGTTTGATTGTATAAAATATAAATACATATTTTAAACTTTGTATCGATGAGAAACGGCGAAGAACAATGGCCTCGGTATGTAATTTTCAAATCAAAACAAGTCACAAGGATCATATAATAACTATTCAGAGTTTGTTTCTATAGTAACTTTTAACCGTCAGTGATTATTGTAATAATTATTATTACATTCGCCAAATGCCGAGTGGCGGAACAACAAAAACATTTGATAAAAAAAACGTTTCCCCTAACAACTATACATTTTATGTATAGGTATATATAGTATGCAGTTTCTCTTGTCGATAAGAGGATATATATATATCACGTACCTACATTGTTTATGAAAAAAAAGGGTTACATTGTTTCGAGGTATTAATGTCTGACAAATCCTTTTTTAAGTCACGCGCTGGGGAAAGACCAAGAAACCGGTAAGCAAACAAACCCCCCTCCTATTGGGAAAATAAAAACGATAATTCTTCGTCGACTAGATTTGGTCAGTAGGTACCTATGTGTAGTAAATAAATAATTAAGCTCGAACACCTAACCGGCACTATTACAAGTTACACGCAAAGGTGTCTACATACGTGTGTATTCAGTTAGTATAATTCCTTCGATAATATATTTTATCGTTCATACTTCCATTTCAATTCAAATATAATATACACCTATTACATAGCCGATACGGCAACGGAATTTCTATAAGTAGAAAGAAATGAAAATAAATCAAACACTTACTAACCGTCGGTAATGATGACTGTATATAGGAATACTCGCTCGGATGTCGCTGTATATACTTTTGAGTACGACAAACGGAACAGATGGTGTTTATATTTATTTATTTTTTATTCGTATGATATTATAATAATACGAATTTCATTTTGGAAGACGGCAAATGATATTTACACAGATAACACTGGGCATGTCATAATTGACGTTAAACTGTGCACCGGGTACACCGAAAATTTGTCACCCATGTTATTATATTATTATATTTGGTTTGAACATTATTATCATTATTATTATTATTATTATTATTATCATCATCATCATTATTATATACCCACCCCATATTTATATACGTACATAGAGTATATACAAGGTGGTATAGAGTCGCCGAGAGAAAAGCGAATAATAAAAATTCCTCGGGTATTATTTCCCCCGGACACGCGGTGGTGACGTGGGGGGGGGGCACTGCGGAGGTGCCTACATATTATAGTATGGGAAGAGGGTTTGCGCGATGTGGTTCACTCGGCCGAGTTTTTATATGGAAATTTAGGATATGGCCGACGACCGCGGTCGAGGAATCACAAAGCCTGACAAAATACTTCTTAAATAGACTCCGCGACACCGACGTGTGTATTATTCTGTGGTGTATTTACTTTTGTCATTGTCCATATTATTGTATATTTCTCTCTCTCACACTCGCTCGCCCGCTCTCTTTTTTCGCGATCTTTGAAGCGCGGGTGACATTTTGGCCCAGATGACTATCGGTTCAGCTGCGCGTATTCAGATTTTTGCACGATTGTACTTGACGGTATAAGATATATAAAATATAACATTTATACATATTCGTATAGGTACGGACCGTACGGCGTACATAATATAATATTATACATATAGCGTATAAAAACCGATAGGAAATTTCGTTCCAGCGTCTAGCATCGCCCAGCAGCGGAAAAGCCTTATTTTAATATTTTATTTTCAAGTGTATCACAGTGCCGAATACACATTTTATGCGTTACTGGCTGTATGGCGCTACTACCTACGAACCTATATGAACCGCTCTCACTTGAGAATATTTAATTTATACTTAGCGAATTAGGCTCAGACAAAGGAACTGAAAAACGTCAAATAGGAACCTAAACGTTTTTGACAGTTCAATTTCATCATATTATACTGTAATACCACTGACATCCAATAGTATAATTTGTAAAACTTAAACGGCAATTCAAGTCTGAAAACCAAAGAAATATTTTATTTTAATCCCGGTAATACAATATTAAATGATATTATGTATGTCATACGCGTTTAACTGACATATAAATAAATATTAATATGTTGTGCCCACCTAATTTCGTTACTTTGAAATAAGTTTAGAAGTATAATTCTATTGATAATAATTGTGCACGGTCATCCCTTATTTGATTATCATTTTGTATACGAATAGTAACTAATAACTATAACAGATATTATGATTTTCTATAATAGTTTCGTAAATTTCACAACAGAGTTGTACTGATAATACTACACTTATATTATCAAAGGCGTCACAGAGGGTCATGTCGAGGGTATGGTTTTGCTACCACAAAATTATATTTGCTATT